TTCTTCCCACCCACAGAAAACTTATTGTATTTTAAATTTTAATTAGAAGTTTTCTCCCCATAGACTGAAACACCGATGCAGACTTTTGTTGCAAGAAATGAATTCGAAATTGGCGATGGAGGTTTTTCTGGTGTCTATGTTGGCCTCATGAAGGATGGAAGTGAAGGCTGACGGAAGAGAATTTTGGTACCAAGTGAGGATAAATCACTAAAATCAGTTGAAAACGGAAAAAACGAAATCAACGAGTCTTATTGAAACAAACTCTTCATTTATAGTAAATATCAACGTTTTCACCGTGACGATACCTTTATGTAGGTTATTGTTGATCTTTGCGAAGAGACCTTGAGGGAACTTGTTCATACATGCAATATTGAACAAGTTAAACCGTTAACCGAAGCTAAAAATTCTAAAAGATTATTTACGACAGTAAAAAAGATAAATGGTGCAAAGAATACGAGTCCTTGCCAGTTTTTATCAAGTCTGAATTTACAGTTGTATACACGGTAACTGGCGAATGATCGAAGCCAACTCTAAGAAGTTGATGCAGTAAACGGCAATCTCAGCATGGCGAACAAGAAAAAACAACGTCTGATCAATTCTTATTAGGTGATCTGAAATGGCGGGAAAGAATTGGGAATATAGTTGCCAAATAATTTCCCCAAAACTTATCAAAGTAAAAATTCTGCAGATATCACGCGTACATGGCGAGCTTAAGACACGTGCTAAAATGTGATTGGCTGACAAAATACAACAAGAGATGAATGATCAAATTCGTTAAAATTATTTGTGACGTCATTCCGTGCGTCTGTCCTCGACCAATGACATTGCTTGAATTCGCTATAATTATTTAAATCTATATAACACACTTGGATCAGATAAATCCCCGTTTATTTCATGCAATTTTTATCGGAGATTCTTCGTTGATTTTACACAAGGTGTACCGCCTTCGATACAACAGAAGATCCTCTTCAACAACGTTTTATAATTACGAAACTCTGAGCTATAAATACCGTAAAGAATTGGATTGACTGAGCAATTGGCGAACGTGAAGACAACCAGCCAGAAATGTGCGAGTCCATTAGCGTCGTTGAGGTTTAGCTTGCTCAACGTAAAACTTACACGACCGGGCGGCCAACCAATGATAAGGGCAGTCGAGGCAGCCAGCGCTAGGATTGAAACTCGTTTTCTGATGGTTGCCACGCGGCCTTGCAGCAGATGTGGCATCTTCTTCACCTTGTAGAGCATGTGACAATACAAGCAAACCACTATTGAGAAAGGAATGATGCATTGGAGAATCATATCAATATACGGGAATGGAACTTCACCGATGCTGAATTTCACCCATTTACAAGTCCCTGTCAAACAAAAAAATCGGTCGGGCTAAACTGATTTTTCCTACGAAATATCTCCCAAAATATAGCCAGTGAGCAGCGTGGAAGCGTTTTCAGGTCTAATAGGCACTTCTAGGACCGGTTGTTCAAAGCTATAGGTTTGCGCAAATCCTGCAGGATTAACAAAGAAGACTTATAAAAGAAGACTTCTATATTGAGAATACTCATGAAAAAATATTCAAGTTAATGTAAAAATTTCCGTTAACCCTGTTCGGCCGGGTTACGGATGTCCTTATATCCTATATATAAATATACATAGGCATTTTAGGCAGTTATACCACATTTGATGAAAAGTTTTCCTGAGAAACATGCGATTGTAAATAATAACTGTACGCCGAACCCATAAGGGATTTCGCCCAATAGGCAATACTAAATTTTTACAAACCTTTCTCGAAATCAGGTTTTGCACAAAAAAATGTTGTCGCCTGAACCAAAAGCCCCCAGAACCAAACCATTCCAACCACCGCAACAGCGTTCTTCGGTTTCGCTTTTCGATATATGTTCGGCTTTGCGATTGCCAACCATCTTTCAATCGTTAGAACGAGGCAGGTGTAAATAGAGACATAACCCAGGCCGAATAAGACGCACGCGTTCCACATTGTTCTACAGAAGAGCGATGCTGCAAACTCATTTTGAGGCCTGTCAGGAAGATATAGGTAGCGGCTGAATATTAGGAATATTGCTGTAACAACATCTGTACAAGACTAAATAAATATGTTGTACGGTTCTTTGAGAGCGTCTCGTTTCGAAACCATGACTCCAAATACTAACAAGTTTCCAAAAAATGAGGCGATCACGATCAAAGAGAAAGCAAAGTATGTGCCAGGGTTATTGCCTTGAAGACCCATGCTGTAACAGAAATATTGCATTTTTTATACTCCAATAACGAATTTGAAATACAAGCTAATTCGTATACTTAATTCATCATTTGTCAGTTTCTTTCCCAAGCACATTTATTACTATAGTTAACAATTATTCGGGCCGAAGGCGAGGTGAATATTGCTGCAAAATCGCATAAAAATTAAAAATCAAAATAATAGTTAAATAAAAATTGCATTTAATTTGTAAAAACAGTCTGTTCTCACTGCTTATATGCTTCGTTTAGACACTCTTATAGTGCCACGTGTTCGTCGGTAAAAGGGTAACCCCCTTGGATGCTGCATCCCCCCCCCCGCAATTAAGATAGTCACGCTACGCCCCTGACAATGTTTATTGTAACTTGACAACATCACTTTTTATATAATAGCAGCAATCCTTAGTAAAATTTCACAGCATTGAATAGACCGACCAACTATGCATGAAAGACTATTGAACATACAAAAGAAATCCGCCGGGCAGAACTGAATACATTAATAACCCCCCCCCCTCCCATTATAACATGAACAACATTGAGAATGTTATGTCAATTAAAAAGCTATTTATCAACAGACGAGGGAGACGACTTGTCAAATTAGCGCAAACTACTAGGCAAGTTGAGCAAAACGATCCTTTTATACCGACCGACGGCCTTGCCAAAAACCCGGGGGTGCAGCACAAGAAGCCAGAAAATTTTAAATTCGTAGCTTATCATAAAGATAAATATGAGTTTGTACGATTTGATTCCATAGACAGCGATTGAAGTATATTTAATATATAAAATGTCGTGAACTTTTATTAGCAAACTGTTGCTTATAAATGCCAATAATATAAAATAAGTGAAATAATATAACCCAAAATTTGCTCTGAAGGCCACAAAAACCTAATCAAGTTAATGCGTGGTTCCTATTTAATCGTAGCTAAGTGTCGTGAACAGGTCATGATGGCTGATGATTAATTTATATGTGCATGTGTGCTGTCAACAACGACTGTTCTAAATACGGAAATAAAGACAATCTGCACAATTCCTCATCGGTGAAAATGACTTGTTCACGATAATTAAAACCAAATGGAAACGAGGCGTAAAGAAACGCTTCACAATTCTTGTGAAATGGTTAAATCGAGCTGACGTGAAACGTGACATGTTTTTCAATTAGATTTGGGACGTGATCGGATTTCCCACCCATTTTGCACCCCATCAATTTAAAATTATTGAACGTTTGTTGGAAGTGTTTTAGATATCTTCCGCCGATGTGTGTTAATTACTTTAAGTTGAGGCAACGTACAGTGCAGGTTCGGCTTTCGTCTTGTGCCATTTCGGAAAATGAACCCGGTGTAGCATTTCTAGTACTTGATTTCTTGTTCAGAAAACGAACATTTTATGTAGTCGCGAAATGCAAACATTCCGCGGAAACATTGCAAATGTTTAAACATTTTGCGAAGAATATAAGCCGCTTTTACCCAAGGCATTACACAAAGCATCGTGAAGTACTGGTTTAATCAAAATTGAAATTCTTGATAAAATAAACTCGATTAAAAACCTTCTATATTCACATTAAAGCGACGCATATTTGAAAAACTTTAAGAGCTTTAAGATTTGGGAAATAAGATCAGACGACAGCTGTTTTGCGTGGAATCACTCAAACGAGTTTTCCGGTTGAAGTATAGTCTCAAACATTTTCGAAAAGGGCAGCAAACAGCAGATGCTTTAACGCCGACACACGCCGGGCGCGATTCGGAAACGCGACGCGATGCTTCCGAATTTTTCAGTTTTCAAAAGCTGCTAACTTTGACATTTGACAATCTTAAGCTTGTGATATTCTTGGTAATTACTGAATGATAATACATTTTGACTAGCGTGGTACCCATATCTCTCAAAATTTTCTTTCATAATTGAAACTATTTGCTTCCAAAAATGGAAAACTCGCGTCGCGTTAGCGAATCGCATCCAGTTTGTGTGCGCCTTTAGAATTTCGCGCCGCGACGCACTATTTACACCGATCAGTGCGCACAAACAGTCCGTGATGCTTCACACTTACGGAAAGCAATTATTCCTCAGCTGCATGGTAAAAGGTACGACGTAGTTAAGGTGATCCCATATATTAGGCGGTAATCAAGTTATTAAGGTGAATATTAAAAAGAACAAAAAATACTTTCAGAATACCTTGCAGTTGATCCAGATATCCAGTTTGTTAATTCTCCTTTTGTTTGTGAAGTAATATAGTTCTAGTCAAGCAGCCAGTATTGCCGTGAACTTCATATTTGAAGATCAAATTAACAAGCAGTGAACTTCAAAGTGCAAAAGCAAATTAATTTTTAAAGAGCTCCACGCTCATATCCACTTTGTCTTTGTCTCTGATTCCACGCGTTTAATTTATGTCTTCCGGGGTATATATAATAATAATCAGCACCTGCATGTAAGACTGTTTTTTACCTTGGCCAACAGCACCTCTGACGAGAAAAGCAAACGCAGCAAAGTGAGACATATAGTGATATAGACCGTAGGGCATTCTGATCAGTTGACTAACAGAAATTTACAACTGGGAAACAACTGTCATTCAGTTTCACACAATCTTCAAACTCCTGATATTGCTAGCAATAAAGGCAGAGAACTGATGTTCGCCTGCATTCCTTAATTTAGTTGCCCCCATAAGTTCACTTAAATGAATACACCAAGAGGGTCTCGGGTCAACAAAACACACTATTTCCCTAGGCGCAGTGTTTGAAACTCGCGCGTCAATCGGGTTCCGTAGTATGAGTGAAGGTAATATGAATGAAGGTAGTATGAATGAAGGAAATACGAACGAAGGTACTATGAATGAAGGTAATATGAATGAAGGTTGTATGAATGAAGGTTGTATGAATGAAGGTAATATGAATGAAGGTTGTATGAATGAAGGTAATATGAATGAAGGTTGTATGAATGAAGGTAATATGAATGAAGGTAATATACTAATATGAATGAAGGTAATATGAATGAAGGTTGTATGAATGAAGGCTGTATGAATGAAGGTAATATGAATGAAGGTAATATGAATGAAGGTTGTATGAATGAAGGTAATATGAATGAAGGTAATATGAATGAAGGTTGTATGAATGAAGGTAATATGAATGAAGGTAATATGAATGAAGGTTGTATGAATGAAGGTAATATGAATGAAGGTTGTATGAATGAAGGTAATATGAATGAAGGTTGTATGAATGAAGGTAATATGAATGAAAGTTGTATGAATGAAGGTAATATGAATGAAGGTTGTATGAATGCAGGTAATATGAATGAAGGTTGTATGAATGAAGGTTGTATGAATGAAGGTTGTATGAATGAAGGTTGTATGAATGAAGGTAGTATGAATGAAGGTAATATGAATGAAGGTTGTATGAATGAAGGTAATATGAATGAAGGTTGTATGGATGAAGGTAATATGAATAAGGTAATATGAATGAGGGTAATATGAATGAAGGTAATATGAATAAGGTAGTATGAATGAAGGTAATATGAATGAAGGTAATATGAATAAGGTAATATGAATAAGGGTAATATGAATGATGGTAATATGGATGGTGACAGCACGACTCATCGAATGAAGGTAATAAGCATGAAAGTCATTCAGTTTCTGTCATTCAACTTCAACTGTCATTCAGTTTCACACAATCTTCAAACTCCTGATATTGCTAGCAATAAAGGCAGAGAACTGATGTTCGCCTGCATTCCTTAATTTAGTTGCCCCCATAAGTTCACTTAAATGAATACACCAAGAGGGTCTCGGGTCAACAAAACACACTATTTCCCTAGGCGCAGTGTTTGAAACTCGCGCGTCAATCGGGTTCCGTAGTATGAGTGAGGGTAATATGAGTGAAGGTAATATGAATGAAGGTTGTATGAATGAAGGTTGTATGAATGAAGGTTGTATGAATGAAGGTTGTATGAATGAAGGTTGTATGAATGAAGGTAATATGAATGAAGGTTGTATGAATGAAGGTAATATGAATGAAGGTTGTATGAATGAAGGTAATATGAATGAAGGTAATATACTAATATGAATGAAGGTAATATGAATGAAGGTTGTATGAATGAAGGTAATATGAATGAAGGTTGTATGGATGAAGGTAATATGAATAAGGTAATATGAATGAGGGTAATATGAATGAAGGTAATGAAGGTAGTATGAATGAAGGTAATATGAATGAAGGTAATATGAATAAGGTAATATGAATAAGGGTAATATGAATGATGGTAATATGGATGGTGACAGCACGACTCATCGAATGAAGGTAATAAGCATGAAAGTTCTTTGCTTTTCCGACCTGAATGTCCGATTCCTCAAGGTAAATGATATTCAACCCGGATATTTGGGTATTCGTATACCCCCTGGCCGCGCTTGTATTTTGTCAAATTTCAAGCAGTGAAAAGACCTCATAAGTCATAACCTTGCCCTTGGTTTGATCATTATATATAAGTTATATTTACGTTGCGATCCTCGGTAAATAACTTACATATAATGTAATTAACTAACATTAACGGAACATTTCATTAAAAGTAAAACTTAATTTTTATTTTTAATTTCTTTCGCCTATAGGCTATTTTAACAAAGACATTTTCAAATGTTCTTGATAACTAAAGGACTTCTTGCTTTATATTACGTAGATTTCGTTAAATTTATAACAAGCAAAACTTAATATTAAACTATCAATTTACAGAAATACTCGATAATGACGGACTTCAATAAAATCCGTCTAAAAATAAGCCAGTTTGAAATAAAGATTCTGCACACATCCACCCAAAGGTGGACAAAAACGGAAGGAGCAGGTTCTGAGTAAATGAAATAAAATTCAAACAAAAAACGCATGAGTGAAGAGAATCAAAACTTCAAACTGGCACATTTACATGCAAGATATCAAACCTAATTCAAGGTAATATTGGTACGCCCCTGCGCAAACGAAGGCGAGATCTGAGTTTACAAGAGGATGTTCGAGTTTTAAGCAAGGGTCATCATGCATGGTGATCAAAGGTGCAGTGTTGCTTAATTCTCACTATAAATCTGAACAAATGCAAAGTTGATGGTCACATAGTTAACGAGTGGATCTTTATAGTTGGACAACTAGCACTCGTTTGCTGAAAAATATTTCGGCTGTGAACAATATATTAAGTGTTATATATTATATGCCAGATTAACGGGTAGACATTTAAGGATATTTTGTCCGCTTTTACGGCGTATCAACGTTTAACATTTGCACTTTCAGATATATCTCAATATTAAGTTTGATAGGGAAATATTCCTAGAGCGTATTTTTTAATAGTTACGGACGGAACGCAGGTTTAGTGGGGGGGTGCAACTTACATGACGTGTGCTCTTATATATCAACTCTCGTCTTCGCCTGGCAGAGGTTTGTGTAGTTTTGTAAAATAGAAGAGAGTACCCGATCGTCCTCTTCTATTTCAAAGTAGCGTATGCGCATCTCTTATATACATACATAGCGTTCACATATAATAAATATTTCGAGCCTCATTCTCTTGCAATGAGCAAACGCTCGATTCAAATTTATAGCCTACAGAATTAAATTACCTTGGAATATTTCTACCTATCTGTACAAAACCTTAGGAATATTTATAGTTCTATACAGCATCCCTATGTATATATCTATATAAATCGGTGCTGAGCAATGCAGCCGTTCTATATACCTAATCTCTTTTTCACTTGCGGTACCAATGAACTCGCTGGTGCGCTGCGAGCATGCAGTTACTGCATGCAGACGGTAATGAAATCTTTAAACCGATTAATTAAGTCTGGGTTGATTTCGACATCCAGGTGATCTCGTGCACATGCTTTAGCCAATCAGCGCTAGTGTGTCGGAATATAAACCATTCTGCTGTATTTGTATATTCAATTACAGCTTTTGTCATTCATTATGAGACAGAAATTTCTTGATTATGTTTAGTTATCAGCACTATAGCACTGTCGTATATTTGAAAACGAAATAAAGTATATTTCAAGAGACATTAAGTTTGCTTCAACCGAGAAATGGACAACTAGTTCCAGTCCTTTCCCGCCATTTTAGATCACCTGGTTTACTATATCGAAGAAGTGAGGAAAATAAGTTTTTTTTTCACTCTGGGGCGCTTGCAGCGAGTTGGTTTTGGCGTGACTCGCGGAAAAGAGCTTCTAAAATGCTTACACCAATCTTGCATAAGTTAAACATCGAATATTTATATGATAGGTTCTACGATATATAAAATAATTGCACACATGTGCATTGATACAAAAAAAAGCCGCTCAAGTGACTCGACATGTGTCGGCCATCATGGAAACCGCTTCTGGGAATTCACAAAGCCTTGCTACTGACCGCGTTTTATTTCCCAAATTCGTGACGCGGAAATAAGCAAGGCGGGTGGCCAAGTTGAAATGTCAACAAAGCATCCATACAGCGGAATCGAGCAACGAAATATATTGAGCATGCATGAAGAAATATTTCACGTACGTGAAGGTATAATGGACAAAATATTTGATGTGGAAAGTTGGAAAAATTTTGAACTATATACTAGCAAATATGTGCAGATGCCGTTCGCACATATTGTAATTATGTGTTTTGAGTTTCAGTTTGAACTAATTGCCGTGCGTATATGTCATGGTGGCTGATGTAATAGGATGTTTGATTTCAGAATATAAAGACATATGCACTTCCTTGTTCACGACAATTACGATCAAATTTATGGAATACTTGCATGGGATTAGTAATGTTTGGAACATTTTATGAATGCTTCATTTGAAGCAATGAAAATTACGAATAAATCCACAAATATTTATGATCGTAAATATTTCTCTATATATTTGAATCATCATTTTAACAAATGTTTTAATACCCCCGTAGGGTCTCATTTCTCGATGAAAACAATCCTTTTGGTAATACGATGGTCAAATAAATTTGAAAATTTTAAATTGAACTAAATTGTCGAGTTGTCACTGCTGTGAAAATGTTTCAAACATTACGAAAGTGTATGTCTTCCTTGTCCTAATGTGCGTAATCTCCGAAAGCTCGCAAGATAGGATTGTTGTCACTAGGCCGATTCAATTATCAGTCGATGATTCAGTGCAGGGAAAAGAATTAACAATGTAGCATTTTAATGTAAACTCACAACTGTCCACTTAATTAATATGTACTATGAAATAAAATATACTAAACAGAACAAAAACCTCAAATGCACGCGTCGGATATGACATGAGTGGAAAACGGCAATTTCATAGGCAATTTCAAGCAGATTTATGCATGGAAACGGCAATTTCACAGTTCTTTTTTGTAATTTTCCTAAACTTCTTTCATTCCTGCCGTATCTGCCTTCGTCGCAATGCAAACGTTGATCTTCTATCAAACTTACTTGTTCTTCTTTTAACAAAGGGCAAACAGCCAATCACTGGATTATCTCGATCAACATTTCAAAAGACGAACTGCCATCACGTCTCTCCACTTGTATCTTTAGTTTTGCCACCGCCACCGTTTAACTATAAGTTCCGTAAATACCAAACGTATTTCCAAGAGATTTTTATTCCGGAGACTTCAGAACGATCCATTTCACATTTTCGCCACTGTCATTTAAGTTTTTTTTTCAAACGAGAGCAAGAAGAAGTCCTTCGAAAACTGCAATGTCCACGTTATCAAGATTCAAACGTATAACTGAACACATTAACCCAAGTTAAACTGAATAATAAATGTTAAAGATGAAACGTGACACTGAAATACTTGTTATCAATTCCACCAGTCGTTCGAGCGACCGCCCATGTTGCCAGGATTACCACGCGGAGCATAGCCACCATAACCTCCATAGCCACCATAGTTTCCGCCACCTCCGTACGGCGCACCGCCGCCATAGTTTCCGGCACCATAACCTTGACCATAGCCTTGCCCATAACCAGGGTTGCCTTGCATGTAACCGCCGCTACCACCACCGCCGCGGTTGGCTTGTTGACGATAATCACGGGAACCGAATGCGCTGTTACCGGTGCTGCGGAGAAAAGAGTGATTAAGATTATAAAATCAACCGAATTTGGAAAAATTATTCTACATCGGCTGAAGTGCAACTGATTTTTCATCTGATATTTTTTGTCTACATTGCTTGACTACATAATTATAATACGACCAAACGTTGCCTTTGGTAAGAATAACACCGTTTTGGTTAGTCCGGGTAGAAAAATATTTCCCTTCGGTCTCAAAGCACCAGGGGAAAATATTTTTCTCTATCTGGACCTCCAAGCCGGCGAATAATACGTATATATTGACAAAAGATCACTGATAATCCTTCAACCACAATGACAAGATATTTATAATTCACAGGCCTCTTTGGGTCAAACAATGACCATATTAGTGTGACGTCGATATTCGGATTACAGTGTGAACACATACCGTCGGTAGTTCTTGTTGCGAGAGCCGCCGCTGTGATACTCTCCTGCAATCGATTCCAACCAAGTGGGCACTTCTTGTTTTGCTTCAGTCAATATCTGCACAAGAACTTTGCTGATGTTCCTGTTGCGATCATTGAAGAATGAGGTCGCCAAACCTATATGTATATAGCGGAAGGGGGGAGAAAAGTTTGAGTTTCACCGAGAAATGTATTGCATATGCCGCACCTATAAACAATGCTTGACCGCGCGGTTTCCCATTTAGGCGGAGTTTTTTTTTATCGAAAGAAATTTTTCGTCTGATATTCTTTTCAATTGTGAGTATTCGACCGTAGCGGATTTCCTTCACCTGCAACAAAAATTCCGCCTAGTGGAATACCACCTTAAGCCGGTTTTCCACTAGCGATGTTTTTCGCGCGACTCGACAGTTTACTTTTGTTCCAGAGCTCTCAACTGCAACCATCTGGAACAAATTGCTCAAATACAAAGGAATAAAGTCGCTTCGCGTGAAAAATATCGAACATAGAAAGTGTTACTTAAATCGAGCAATTTAGAAGAACTTATGCCTTAAGTTTGGCAACTGAAATCAGTAACCCATTGATTGGCGTACGAAGTCACAGGGGTTTAATTCTCGTTCTTGGTTTGCAAGTTATCCTGATCAGGCATTAATAATTTGGTCGCAGGAGAAAACAAAATTAAGTGGATGAATAAAAATCTTCAAAAGAAAAAACTGCCTCATGTGAACTTCCATATGAAGGTATGGTATTAAAAAGGACGATGTGTAAACATTGTACCTGTGTTACCCACACGACCAGTACGACCAATACGATGGACATACTCTTCAATATCACTGGGCATGTCAAAGTTGATCACGTGCTTCACATGTGGTATATCCAAACCACGAGCAGCGACCTACAATAAAATAGTGGAGATCATGAAACTTTTTCATCATACAACTTACAGCAGAACATCTTTGACTATATTAAGTACAGAGGCTGGCTTTACTGTAGCTGATTAACTGTTATGCACACGCTGTTGTGCATTCCCCCGCTGACGAGAGTTCAGATAAAATGAATCTGGCGTTTTTTTTCAAAATTGAAATTTTCGGTGGTTCCGACGGGCTTCGGAGAGTAGGCTTATATGCAGAGTATAATGATGCAACGTACATTAAGTCACTGTACTGAGTTTACTTACCGCAGTTGCGACGAGGATTGGGGTTCTGCCACTACGGAACGAATGCAACGAATCCTCGCGTTCTCTTTGGGAGCGATCGCCGTGAATGGAAGTTGCGGGATACTTTTCCCGGTACAAGAAATCTTCCAAGGCGTCTGCTCCTTTCTTGGTTTCCACAAAGACCAAAGTCAACGACTCTGGACCTGGTTGAAGCAACGTTAAAAATTGCGATTAATGGATGATTTTACAGTTGATGGCTATAGAATACATTTTGGTCTGGGGGGCGGAGCTATAACAGTCGTCGAAGATTTTGTAGCCGCAGCGAAACTAAAATTCTCGAATACTAATATAGGAGCTGAAGGTTCGCGTAGGTCGCACCCTAGCTCTGTGAACATGCACAAATTGCTTTCTTTTGGAGTTTTTTATACTAACAACTGTGGCTAAAAACTCAAACTGAACCTGCAGTGTCGTGAAAAATACCTGAAGCATTGAGTAAATCCAAAAGGAATGATCTCTTGTCGACATCATCAACCCAGACAATCTTTTGTGTGATATTTTCACTGGTGGAGCCAACGCGTCCGACGGCCAGGAAAATGTAGTTGCTCAAGAAATCGCGAGCAAGTATCTAAAAACGTGCAAAAGAAAAGCAGTGTAACTAATATGATCATTGGCGATAACCTTATGTCCAATGTTAAAGTGGAAGATGTAACCATTTTAAGCTTCAAGAACATTTTAAAAATCGATATGCTATGTGAAAACAGCACTGAAATATGTGGACCGTCACTACTCCACACTACGAAAATCATTGTCAAAATTGTTGATACAACTTGGCGAAGCATTAATTTTTTGTCGTTGTTTTTTACTTAAATTCAAAAATACCTCTTATTAAGATTTAACCTACATGTCACTTGAGACTTTGCGTCCTAACTTTTAACAAATACACTCAACATTATATACCTGTATTTCCTTCGGGAAGGTTGCACTGAACATGAGCGTTTGTCGATCACCAGTCTTTGGCATCGTATCTTGCTCCACAATTCGTCGAATCTGTGGCTCGAAACCCATGTCCAGCATTCGATCAGCCCTCGTCCAACACTAGAAATCTGAAGAAGAGACACCAGACACCAGATCAGTCTGAGTAAAATTTAGTGGTTTCAGATTCAACGACCGTTTCCAACATGGTAAAAATTTCCATGCCTCATACAAAAGTACATATACAAATTTTGCAAACTTTGCAAGGCTATATTTTGCTGCAGATTTTTGCAATTTACTGATGATAGTCGTTTCTGGGAAGCCCATTCTGGGAATACACCTCTTTATACGTAAGACAAAGATTTAGTGAAATGATACAATTGTCCAGGTAAGCCGAATCATACGAGGTGAGCGGGCCCTGGGTTTCCCCAAGCGACTTTTGATAACGAACAGAGCAAATACACCTGAGCATAACATGGCGAAGTTAATTTTTTTCTCTTACTTGCAGACATCGAGACCGATTTTGCCGCGATCCAACATGTCCACAAGACGACCAGGAGTGGCAACGAGTAGGTGACAGCCACGGTCCAAGTCACGCATCTGCTGGCCAACGTCTGCACCGCCATACACTACTGATGGCCGTACGTGAGACCGGTAGGCAAACTGAAATAAGTGATTAAGCAGTTAGTCCTGTACACCTTTCTTAACCTGGCGTATGTGACACATACGGATTAACACATAGCTAGGTAAAACACGTCAGATTTCAAATTTCGACATCAGACAAAGGACGTTAATGTGGCATTGGCACTCGATTTAACTGGTCATAGTTGTCAATTGTAGACAACTATATACGTACTGTTTTTCTATCGTGCAAATGAGCCTTAAACATTTCAAACCAGGAATAAACCTTTGAACTAACAGGGGGAACAAAATTAAAAAAGATGGAAATGGTGAAAAATTATGTCAAGTCTTTGTGCACAAGTTCCTATTACAATGAACAAACTCCAGCCGAGTTCCCACGATCATGTCGTTCGACCATAGTTACATAAAACAAGCAGATAGGCCAGTTCTCTTTCATACCCGGTAAACTCTAAGGGAAACATTGTTGTGCAGAGCATTGTGTTTCCTTGTTCGCCCACTAGATAGAATCATTGTGGTGAAAACAAATTTGCTTCAGAAGAGCAGACATTCTTCTATTAAGTTATCAAAAGTGTTCAAACATTCGTATAATGAAAACATTCATACACAAGATAAACCGCCATGGACACTTTTCTTTTCACTCTTGTTCTCAATGTTTTAAATACAGTACCCAATATTTGCGATATTGTTTCTGCAAGAATGATTCTGCATGCAACCATAGTCGAATTCATATTAGAGACGGGAAACTTATCGAAGACGGGAGACTTGTCTGATATTTTCCGTTAAGACGGGAAAATTCCGAATTTTTCCGTGTTAACAGTCTTCCGTCTAAACAGACGGGTACGTTTGACGGGAATCCCGTCTGGGCGAAAAACGGGTTGTTTTGCAACAATATTTTGCCGCAATAGACTGCCTGAGCATGCTGTACAAAAGTATTACATTGCATGAACTCCAACCTTTTTAGCTTCATCAAGGATCTGAATGGCAAGCTCGCGAGTGGGAGCAAGAATAAGACCGATAGGGAACTGCTTTCTTCGGCCAAGATGTTTCATCTGAAAAAAAACCCCAAACTTTTTAATTAAAACGAGGTTTCAAGAGAACGCGATTCTGAAACGCGACGCAAGTTTAAAAAATTCCAGTTGTCAGAAAAGAACTGTTATGTATCCAGAGTGCTTGTTGACTTGTTTGATATCAACAGTTCTAAAATTTTCTCTCAGTATTAAATTTATTTGCTTCTGAAACTGCCTAAAACCGAATCGTCTGCAAATATCCTGGGACGGGTAATTTCACGATTCACGCACGCAGTAACCCGATGAGCCTAATTGAGGATTTCTTGAGGATAGGAACGAAACTAATTAAAAAAACCCCCAAGATATGTACAGGTACAGTGTGTTGAAATGTCTTCGTGCAATCGAAATCAACACTTTTCTAAAGCGTGAAGCCTTTTTCTTCATTTAATTGTACTGTAGAACTCTCGGCAATTTCCAAGGGTAAGCACCTTACGCAACTCAATTCCAAGTTCCAATACGCAATTGATTCCAAGGGGAGCACCCTGTACATATATATACGTATAGGATTCGTATCGGGAGGAAATCAATGCAGGTTATCTCTGTATACAGAAGCCTGTGCTCAAGCATAATTTGGTCGGAATTCTCCCTGCATAGTAGCTACAATGAATCGTAACGACATACGTCTGGTGGAGCTGGCGGTCCTTCTTCAAATATTCTACTTAGAATTGGAATAAGAAACGCGGCAGTCTTGCCAGAGCCTAGGAGTAAAAACGAAGTTATTTAATTTTAACACGCTCCTCGAGGTATACCATGCCTTCCTAACGGATCGAGGTGTAAATGCTATTGGTAATGAGGTGGAAACGTTACCTGTCTGGGCACAGGCCATAAGATCACGCGAATTCTTGATGATCGGGATAGCATGCTTCTGCACCGGAGTTGGTTTGGAATAATGGCACAACTGGGATGAAAAAATATGCACTAAAATTAGCCATGACCCGTGCAGAGCAGAGAGCTTATGGCGGGCCGGGTAAGACACGACTGTGAGACGGGGTGACAACAGCAGGTTTGCATGTATCTTAATCTGATCATAATAGCTTAATCTGGAAATCTTAGTCTTATCGTGAAAACAGTTCAGAAAAAAAGTTCCTCTAAATGTTTCGCAGAAAAACCCCCAAGAAATTATCGACTCATGCTGCTTTTAAAATATCACGTAGTAAGGACTACGAAGTTTTCTCAAAATGCCGTAGTCAGATGAGCGACGAGTCTATGGCGTCAATATCACGAATAACACGTCAATATGACAAATCTTGTAGCCGTAGAGGTAGACATAATCAAATCTAAAAGTGTTATTTTTTTTTGGGGGGGGGGAGACGTGGCTCGTGTCACGTTATATAGACACGCGGACGAGAAAGCATTATAGCCTCCCAACTACAGACATACTGTAGGCTACATTAGGACGAATTTTAACATCCCACAGCTTGAAAAACGGGTACTTACACCAATGTTGTGCGTGATAACTTCCCCGAGATCTGCACAATCACCAAACTAAATGTGAAACAAACGATGCACTGGATTAAAATTGATATTTGTCACTTGCGTGTGTTATTTACAGTTCCAACAAATGTTGTGAAAAATAAGTACTGTTAATTTCGAGACGATACAATGCACACTATCAAGAATTCGCAAGCTAAAAACTGAGACGGACGCAGAGTGCAGCAGGGGGGAAAGATGCTCTTTTATATCTTTCAACTTTTATATCTTAAGTGTTGAAGTGCAACGAACGAGCCTCAAGAATAGCACATTTTAACAATAGTATAGTTTGTAGTCTTCAAACTTCGTATGGGGACCTCGTGTCCTATGTTTTTTCGCCTAATGTAGCTAGCTCATGTCCTATATCTATGCTAAATTAGAACAATAAATAAAATGTATGTAATGTACATGGCGAACTTACGTTATCAATATGAGCAGGGCATTTGTCACCGGTCGCTTCTACTGGGATATCCTCATATTTATCGAAGTTGATGCCGGTGTTGGATGCCGCAAACAGCTCTCTATAATACAAAAAAGTATCATTATCTGTGTGATCCAATAGCAAATATCAGCTGAATATCTACGTCAGTCACACTTTCTTCCAAACTGACGTTTTTTTCAAACTGACCATAAACATGGGTAAAGTTTGTTAGCTGGCATACATCTCAAACAGATCTAAATTACCTTTCCAATCGGTCATTCCTCGGCAATAACTTTCCCCACTCTTCTGCAGGGGGAAGAGACGTCCAAGAATCTGCAAGTTAACACATTACAGTACACTTAAGTTTTGAGAAAATTGTGAACATTGTATCAAGTGATTGTACGCAGTAGAAAATTGCCTGGTCAACGTTCTGTAAAGCACACTGGGGTGAAATGGATCTCCAAAGTACCTTTGGGGGAGTCATAGTTCCTGTCTTTGAAGCCACCCCCACCACCACCACCACGTCGACCATACCCGCCACCATAACTGTTTCTATTTCCACCACTACCAAAGTTGTTGTAATGGTTGCCAGAGTAGCCACCTCCGTAACCACCACCACTATAACCACCATAACTATTGCCACCATAGCCGCCACCACGTTCATAGCTGGATGAACGGGAATAGCCTAAACGAAAGAATGTAAATATTCTAAACATTATGGGAATTTTTATTCAATAAGCAAAATTCTCTGTTTGACACATACATACAGTACAGTAAAACTTTAAGCGTAAGTTGGACAGGTTAAGAAGTAACAATTTTATCTCTGAAAACTCAATTTTCAAAGTTTGAGAGAAAGGAAGTTAGAACTTCTAATGTTTGAGCTGTTGGTCCAGGGATGTTAAGAAGTCTAGTGGCAATAAATGTCCAACTCTATAAAGTTTGAAAAAATTGTTCTTTTGTACTTTGTGAGAAAATTTCAATATCCTAAGACTGACTCTGTTGGCCACAAAAACCAATTACCAAAATTATTAACTTTATAAATAACAAAATCATTATTTTAAAATTGCGAGGTGCAAGCCATCAATCAATAAACTGTGGTAAAAAGTAAACATGTTAAAAACTTCAATCATGTTGTAACATACCTCGGTTTCCACCTCTACCACCATGATAATTTTCCTGAAAAGAATCTGCTGAACGTTGATTGCTTCCACCTCCTCCACGGAGATGAGGAGGGATGTAAGCTGTGAAAAAAATATTGAATGTCATGTGAAATAGCCGGGTTCATATTATGTAGTAGAGAGATGTTTATTGCAGGCCTGACTTGCATTAGATGAAAAGGCTTAGTTGCTTATTGCTTGGATAGAAAAGATTTATAAAATAAATGTTTTTTACCAAATTATAAAAACGAGTTTTACTACCAATATGCAATTATAAATACAGCAAACCATTAGAAGTCCAAATCCACAAATATTTTTTTCATGATAGTGGTGCATATTATAAGAATATTTTGTGCAAAACATGGCAATATAACATTTCATAGGCATTTTAAATGTCTTGTTACATAAATCTGTCAGAAAATTTTTAGACAAGGCTAAAAACTGTGAGCCTACAGTTTATCAGCATGGAACAATGCTGTGCTGCCAATATTGTTCACACATCAGGTGTAACAATATTGATCGCTGTTGATAACAACTCTGAACAATGTGTGCAGCACATCATTGTTCCATCCCGTTCATATCAATATTGCATCAACCATTTTTAGGTGTGTAGTCTAAAATGAGTAAGTACATGCACTTTGCATGCTGTTTTTGAATTAATATACTGTATATTATATAGATGAAAAAAACATATAGATGAAAAGAGGAGTGCAATTACATTTGAAACTATGCAATCATCCATAATTGTTGAAATGCTATAAATTCTCATGAAGTTCTTCTAATAGTTTGTATAAAAACTATTTTTTGATTTCTTAGTTATAACATTTTGACATTATAACTATATGTGTAACTACAACATAATATTTCAAATATATAACTACAATTACTGGTCATTGAAATTACAAATCACACAATAGCAGAGTTTCTTTCACAAAAAAAATGAAAATAGACTTAAGTGGAGCATGTGGCAATAAATGTCGGCTGAAAAAGGCACACCTTGAAGCAGCATGTGTTCGGGGTACTTCTACCAAATCTGGATAGTTATAACTGTCAGATAGAGATTCAAAATTTCCCAAGATTTGGTACAACCCCTGATTACAAGTTAATATTTGTGAAGTCAGGTTCTTCTTCAGTAATTCTCAAGTCTAAATCTATAATTTTATGGTTGTCAAACATTATCACATGGTTGATAAAAATACATCTAAATGTGATGGACAATGTTATCTCTACTTTGTACACCTTGCCTTTGTTGGCTAGCAAGGGGAAAATCTTAAAATAAGTTGATAGGCTTTCTATGAAGATTACAAGCAGGGAACCAGCACATGTTGTCAAGGACTGATACAATTCATTTCATCACAAAACTAGGTATAAGAATTACTGACTATGTTGTATTAAAATATATAGCTGTTGATGCTCAAAACATTTCAGGCTTTAATAAAAACACTCAAGAGATAAGCCCTGGCCATATTGCAACACCATAAATGGCTAAATGAAAAACAATGAATACTATAAACGATTTTCTATTACATAAACGGTGCTCGTATAAATTTAGTTATGTAAAGGAATTCTACAAAACCGCTTTCTATAAGATTTCACCATTTTTTTTCGTCTTGATTATAGTCTCTCTACGCTTGATACAACAGGCAACACACTTAGAAGACATTCCAAGCAAAAAACTACCGATAAAAGTACACAATAACTTACTGTTTTGTGGTGACTTTTGTGTGCCAGGGGTCCGGCTTTGCGGATCTCCGGCGTTCAAGTCTAGGCCAGCAAACTGTAAAATCGAGACGATGAAACATGAATATGAAACGTAAAATTTTCAAGGTATTGATAAATAGGGCGGCAGGCAACTCCAAACAGCCAGCTAGCTAACAGGGGGATATCTATAGCAGTCTATCAGTGAATTTCAACGATGACAAGGCTGTTTTATAGCACTGTATTCAATGGGGCAATTCTGCCAGCGAACGACGAGAATCGCGTTCATAGTTGGCCGACAAGATACTTACTTGCTGATCTAGACTTCGGTTAGAATCTGGGGCACCATGACTCATAACGGTAGAGATAATATTGTGAGAAAATTCAACTGTCGCTCCTCGTTGTTTAAAACAAGTGAAATTGTGAAAAGTGAAAATTATTCACTGAGCCTTCGAGCTTCGCTGACGTCACCTGCTTGGCATGCGCCAAATTTTTTGCTAAATCACTGACCTCAAAACTGTGGCATGATCACAGTTGGGGCCGGTAGTACTTTAGCCTTTAGGTTGTACTGTGGTTGTACGAAAGCCGGAAAAGATATTAATTGTTTTCAACCCTTTTAAGCATACTTAAAAAGCAATGAAATTACAAATTTGGAGCTGACGGTTATGAAAGAGTAGTTTCCCAGTTGCCCAATAGATTGTTCTCAGCAGATTTTTGGCACCTTTTCGAACAAGGATTAGAACGAAACCGATCAGTAGACTTTTAAAGTATTTTTTCACTGTATTACTATTTTATTATATTAGGCAACCTTTAGGAATTTTTAACGGCAACATTTCGACGTTTTTGATGCACGATCTTCTTCGCTTCGGGGCCGTTAATTGCATTTGCGCGTGTGTGTTTCCGGTTGCGCTGATTATGTCAATTTAACGGAAAGGCGCTGTGGTTTCCGAGCGGACTCAGAGACTGTCAGACTTTAAATGTGGTCAGTAGTTTGTTAGTCTAAAATGAGTAAAATCGGTACGTCACACAGTACGTCCGTACTCCAAAAAACATCATCTTAAGAACACAAGAGTTGCCTACGATCCGAGACAACGAATTTTACGGCGGGTTTCTAAAGTCCTAAACTATAAAAGGGAAACTATCACAGCTAACTTCTTGTCTTATTTTGTCAAATCGTGGTTTGATCGACTGACGACGTTGGATTGCGAGCCGCTCAACACGTCGATCTCTCGTCGCATTCAAATCAATTAGCTATAGGTTAGCCACAGTGGTTAAGCGCATCACGCATACATATAGGTTTAACGTTATGTTAATAATGAAGTCGGACTTTTTAGACATCCTTTTTCTTGTTATTTGGCGGAATGAAATTAAATAATACATGAATGCACACCATACTCTAAAGAATATAGAACGATCCAGATAAGTATGTAAAAATCCATCTTTTCCAGGTCATGATAATAAAACAGAAGACTTTGTGTGACTTGTATCACAAAAAATAGTGATACATTGTATGTCTTATTTGCATATTATTATACAGCAGGCTGCTCCATTTACTGTTCGGAGTACTCCAGATTTCAGGAGCAGTAATGGAGTGGAACAGAACACTGTCACATGAAAGTTCGGAACTGTTCTGATTACCCCTACTTTAGGGGTAGCTAGAACACAACACGTGACAGTGACACGTACAATTTTTACGTGTTTAAAAGTGACGGTAACAAATGTGTTTAATCGTAATGTTGTGTTGGCCTTATTTTAAGACTTTATCTTCATCCATGGACATACATCTATTGTCAGGAATGTGATGGCTATAGTTGTGTGAGATTCGATTTGTACAAGTGTCTAAAAATGTCTTAAATAGACATGAAAATACATGAAATCACTATACTGTTTATTTTTTTGCGAACAATTATAAAACGCATAGTAGAACACATATGTAATAGACTGAAACTGTTCCAAAAAAATGTGTGCTTTCCATTACACACACTTCTCGCAGAGTGTTTTAAATTATCAAGAACAGTAAATGGCGCACCCTCAGGGGAGTAAAAAAAGTGATGCCTTTTATATTCAAATGAGCCGCGAACTTATGACAGGCCTATTGTGACAATTCCAAGTGATAACCTTCAACATGACACGTGTGCTATAAAAACAATCTGATAAATGGTTTATTATTATTTACAGAGATTATAATAAAAAATGTTCACAAGCTATACCCCATGTCCTTCAACGTGACCACCGTTTCTTTCAGCACAAAGAGTTGTTAAAAATAATTTCCAAAGAGAGCACAATTTACGTTTTGGATTAATTAATGTTCACTTATTTGACATGCTTCGTATACTCGGTATACCCATGGGTTATTTAGGCAACTTCCGCTTAATTATGTGCCTAATTTGAATTTGAAAGGCATCAGCTTTTTTTTAATAGCTCTGTAGTATTAAATATTGCTATTCACATAAATTCATATTATATATATAAATGCACAACTGTGCTAGAATCCAATCAGGTCCTCAATGGGTTTGTACTTCCAGGCATCGGTTTTAATGTAATCAAGTTCCTGCCGAAGTTTTTCTAATCTTTGCTGATGAGCTTCTGCAGATTAAAAGAAAAAAAGTGTTCAGTAAGAATGTTAGATGGTCAACTTCATTTTAGCTCAGTCTAAATCGGCTTTATGACCACTCTCTAGTATATATACAAATTGTAATGTTTTTTTACCAAATCGAAAACCAAGTTGTATACATAGTTTTGAGATACATACCTTGTTGAGATGATGAGAGTATTGTGTCCACCTGCATGTCAACTTGGAAACTGTTACATTTTTTAACCCATTGGTCTGGTGAAAAAGTAAAACAATATAGTAAGAGAAAACCTGTAGGAGTGTCTCGACAGCTTATAGTGATGCTTGTCTGATTTGTTGCTGGTCAGTCTTAGAGGGCTGTGGTTATGTTTTGCCTTCTGAGGATAAGTTCTTATGTACAGTTCTTACAAAATTGATGTTGTTGATCTATAAATGTCAGAAATATGTGCCTAATTAACAGTTGGTGACAGACTTACAAGTGCTAATTCCATGTCCTAACTTGGCAACCAGGGGCCGGTTGTTCAAAGCTAGATTATCGCTAACCCTGAGTTAAATTTTCATCATAGGCAGCCCGGTCAATTCTGGGACAGTATACTATCTTATGTATATAATTATCCTAGGATACCTGCATTGACTTTTCAAAACTTTACAAAATATGATTTCTATTGAACCAGAAAATACTCTAAAAATATTCAACTTTTACAAGTGATGAAAAAAATTGATGTAAAAATTTGTGTTAACCCTGAGTTAAGTTAACCATGAATACCACATTGTCTATTATAGTATTATTGGTACCAGCAATATATAAATAAATAAGTAAAAAAAATAACAACTATCTTGTATATCCGAATATTTGAGATATTAAACAAACGATATATTGTACAGAGATGGCGGCACGACAATAGATAATCTATTACGTTGATAAGGGCTTATCTTTTCAATCATCGCATCTTCATAATCAGGTTTATAATCTACCCACACTAGTTGAAATCCCTTTATTAAATCATACAGTTTTATTGCTACCTGATTCAGAATCCTTTGATGTGTTCGAGAAAGGCGAATTAAAAAGACTCTTTCGAGAGTATACATACTCGCATATCTTAAATAACGTCGTTCTACTCTCGTTTCTTGTGTCGTTTTCTGGTCTCTGACTGCTTTCCCCTTCGGACGCCATTTTTATGTGGTTTGAACTTTGAAATTTGAATAATGAATAGTTGCTATCAGTGGTATAAATTTTTCCTTACAGACAGGAATGTCGTTTTGGGAAGTTTTCTTGATCGAATTCAGAAATATAAGTTAGGACTTATCTGGGACTTACCCAATTGCCCTGAGCACTTTTCGAGCACTTTTTTCATTTTGGAGCACTATTTTGCACGTTGAGCAACTTTGAGCACTTTTTAGCAATTTCGACAGCATCTGAGCAACATTTCACATTTCAAAGGAGTTTCGAGCAACAAAAAGTTAGCGATTATAAAATTCGATTCGTACCTCGATTACTGATTGGGTCTAAAACTCCTAGACAGTAGACAGACTAACAAAATAATACCAACGCCTGCCTTCAAAAAGATTCACCTCAAACTCATTGAGTAGACTGTTACATGATGAGGGTATTTTCCCTTAGCTGAGGCCTGAGGGTTTGATTTTAAATGTTTTGCCATTGAACAATGTTTTACCCAAAATCTTGCTATTATTGGTTAAAATAATCTCTCTCATTGATCAGCATGAACGAGTGCAAGTGCGCATGAGTAAGCTTTTAGTATATCGGTTCCCATTTTTGGCCTGAATGTGGTAACAATTTCCGTTTGTAGTAAAAAGTAACAAATTTGCAAACTTTGCAAGGCTATTTTTTTCGTATCAGTTTACAATATTTCGCAACCAAACTTTACATTTCTACTAACTTCAGTATGTTCTTTTCAGCTGTGGGGATTTGATTGCATTGCCTTCCACTAGATAAAAAAGTTTAAAAATTTCTTGCATTTTGTTTTATTATATTCAAAAATACTGACTTTTGCGTATTTAGCAAGAACGCTGAACGAATATCCAAATAGAACCTTTCGAGAATTACGTCACAACATTATCGTTTTAAATTTAAAACCACCTTACATGAGATTGATTTCAAGTTTTGCTCTCACAAGCTATGTGAAAAGATGCAAAACATCGTTCTCAAACACATACATGAAAAATTTTTTTCATTTTGAAAAATAAGTGTGGAATTAAGTCATTACTCTGGAAACAGGCTGCCATTCATGGCCTAGTAGCCTCGACTTGGTGTTACCGCTTATCCCCACATTTATTGGTGAAAATGAAAAATTCTTTCTCATGCATGTGTTTAATTAAGAACGATGTTTTGCATCTTTGTACATAGCTTGTGAGAGCAAAACTTGAAATCAATCTCATTAAGATGGCTCTGACGTTGTTGTGACGGGATAATTTTGTAGGAATTCTAGGAGAACTGAGGAGTTTCTTGAGCATGAAGCGAGGCATTCTCAGATTTAGGTGTAAATAAGGCGCCATGTTTGAAAAATGCTGAGCAGTTGTCAGGAAGCGATAATATTCAACGTTTTAAACTCTTCACTCATATATCCATATTTGACATGGAGTTTAAATGAAAACAATGGCTCATTGGTATTCAAATTCGTTCGTACAGTTCACTTTTGGTGTTGTGGCTGGCGCAGGGGCAATCGTTTTGGCTTCGAGAGGGCTAGGAATTTTACACGCATTTCCTGAACGAATTGCCGGCATCGGAAATGAAAGAGTTGGTTTTTCTCAAAGCGAAAGAGAAAACCGTGATAGTGTCCTTGACAGACTTTCGCCCACTATTCCTAACGATGACCCGGGATATAACTTATCTGATGGAATGTTGTTTCCCCCCCCGGATACCGAGGAGAATAATGGACTTGTAGACATGCTATTTCAAATTGCAAAGGACCAGGCACACAGGGACTGCCTTATCCACCGTGGTATTACGTGCAACATTTGCAATGCAAGTCCAGTTTGTGGAACTCGTTATAAATGTGCTAACTGTCTTGATTATGATGTTTGTGAGGTCTGTGAAACGAATGATCATCACAATAGAACTCACGTTTTCTTAAAAATTAAATACCCAATACCACCACTGGCAAATCCAAAGGCAGTATGTCTGAAGCCCTTTTATACTGGTATGTGTTTGGGCCACATAAAGAGGTGTTTGTTTTGTGGGGTGTTAACTAATCCAATAGTAGTTAAATAATAATTTGTGTATAATTGTATAAACAGACTTATTATTAACTTCCAGATGCCCCTTAAACTGACCGACACATAATTTTCACTCTTGACAAGTAAACCAATTATCATCTGGAATTCAACAGTTGAAGTTGCATCCTAGGTGATAATTAATTTACTTGAGAGTTAAAAATTATAGCTACTTGTAGTTGATGCATTGCATTTCAGCTAACATGATTGATATAAAAATTGTCTCATTTTTGATATTATTTTGTATCACCAAATCTGTCTAGTTAGAGTGAGCTTTTTGACACTTAATTTGGAATTTTTTGGATGTTTATTTAAACATGACATATATACAGTGGCGTAGCCAGCCTGACAATTTAGTCATGCTATGCAAATTTTATGTTATAATTCTTCATTTCTTTAGAAATTCATTGTTTTCACAGTCAATGAACACCAAAATATTAACATAGCATAAATAAATTGTCGGACTGGCTACGCCACTGTATATATGCTCAAAATCACCAATTAGCATTAACTACACTTAACACTGCACCACTCAAAGCATCACATAACCCTGTCTCAAATACCTTATCTGAGGTCTGTTCTATGCATATCCCCTGCTCACAGAAAATGAGCAACATTCCAGGTGTCTTGTTTTTTCAGGCACAAATTTGGACCATGTGGCACTGTGTTGGGATGACATAAATTGCCTTAAAGACAAGACTCATTTTGATGAAACTGAAATTCAGACCCTACACGAACAATTTAAGACTTTGGCATCTCTGGAGCAAGGAATCTCAAGGGAGGCGTTCAACCTCAGTTTGGGACCTCTTGGCCGGCAAAGCAACCTGGTTATTGACAGAATGTTTTCTTTCTACGATCAAAACGGCGACGGTGTCATTTCGTTCGAAGAGTTCATCTCAGCTCTTTCGGTTTTGGTGAAGGGCAGCAAAGATGAAAAACTACGGTTTGTTTTCGAAGGTTACGACCTGGAGAAGAAGGGTTACCTTGTGTACAAAGACTTTCACGACATGTTCAAAGCGTATTTCAACGTGAGCATAGAACTGGTCAGGGATTACATAAAGACGCGGGAAGAAGAGATGAAGGCCGCGTTCGATGAGACCGCAGATAAGCCAGTCTCATCTGTATTTCATGCTCCAATTCCCAACGACGTTGGCGGCGCATCTGGTGGGGATATCAAATCCGTGCAGCAGCCACGCTCCGGAGCGGGCGGGAGCGGCGGTGCCAGACCCTTGATGGAGGCCATGTCACAGGACGCCATTGACGAGATGGTCGCGAATGTTTTCAAATGTGCCGACTTGGACCGTGATGGAAAGATCACATTTGACGAGTTCAAAACGTGGGCCGTTTTAGATAATACCGTGTTGGCTTGGTTCGATGCTCTTGGAACTGTCTTTTAGTTTTTTTTTTAACATTCCCTATTGCCTTATCAATAGCGACTTTGTAAACGATAGGATCTGAACTGTAGATTCATAATTTTTCAGTAATAATTTTTCAATAACTGCAGTCAGGCGCTACACACACGATTTCTCGTTGTCTGTTTATATGATCCCGCTTAGCCGAGATTAGCCCCAAGGCCACAGTTACCGCGGATACCGAATTATGTACTTTTGTGCCGGACCGTTCCAGTGAACTCTACAACTGAAAGGATAAACTCATCCTCAGGTATATAGTGATATTGAAGCCAGTACGTTTTAGTTTTTTTTACGCTGAAAGCTGAACGGTTTGCTTTAGATGAAACTGAAACTATTAGGGAAACCTCATTACCAAATAAAGATTTCAACGCTTTAGTTTAGCTGGCATGGGGTGATGGGGAAATTTGTTTTAAACAAAACGAAAGCAATTGCCTATATTGGTCCGTATATACAGTGACAGTGTAATCTTCCTTTTCTAGCCGAACTGCAATTGTTCATTATTTTATTTTGCGACGTCTTAATTAAAAATAATAATGTTAGCTCCATGAAGATATAGCTGTGTTTTTCATTTATTTTGTTCATTTCGTTCCATATTCATTTATTTTGTTCATTTCGTTCCATATTTGCCTTAGAGTTCACTGGTGTTCATATTTTTTCACAAGTGATCCATCAAAGATTTATGAAAGAAATTCTTAAATATCTAGGACTAGGACCACTTAATTACGTTATTTGAAGAAATGTGGGAGCTTTTAGCTAATGTTTCATGACGTACATATATGCTACAATACAATATAGAGACCTTTTAAAAGATTAACGTAAACGACAAAATGGAAACGGCAAAACGGAAACGGCAAGTTAACCCTACAGGTTAGTAAACCCTACAGCTTAAGCCCGTTTTCCACTAGGCGAATTTATTCGCGCGACGCAGAGCGATATTGGCCTTCGAAAAAGTAGAATCGCGAATAAATTCGCAAGTGGCGGATCTAGGGGTGAAAAAATGAAAATTAAAGGCCAGAAACTGACTTTCAAACACGAGAAAACAATATGTAAAAATTTACTGGCTAACTTTTCGTTGTATTTTTTACAACAATTAATTAAACCTATTTATTCAAGGATGGGTTACATCAAACCGTCTAAAAATAATGTAACAACATTAAATAACATTAAAAAATACTACAAAAACTACATTAAAAAATAAATTAAGGGCACAACCAAACACTCTATTCATGCTTTAATAGACATCTTACCATGACGTTTTGCAACATTTAATAACTAAACCAAGAGTAGCATATGCTAGCAAATATCATTTTGCAATCACTGCCGGAGGCGTGAATGGCCAGGCTGACATTTTGCTATGGTTTTCGTGCCTATGCCACCACGGTTAACAATAATTATCGCCCATGGTCTTCTAGTAATGTTATGGAACGGTATGATAAAATTAATAAGGTCTATTGATTTAAATTTTATATAATTCATTATGCAATCATTTGTGAGTGGATTTGCAGTTTAATATTTGTAGACTATATATTTATATATAAACCGAAAGTTATGCACATGCATATTTGCAATGCCAGATCAGATTCCAATTAACAGAAGGCTTATAAAAAAAAACATTGTGTCCGGGGCTTTTTCACGAGCCCAGTTACGGGGGGTTCAACGAAGCAAATCCTTATAAACAGCCTCTGAAGGCCGCATTATACGATGCAATTTCTCCTGCAACTTGCAATCCAATTCAACTTTTCAGAGATGAAAATCTGACAGCTACAAAACTTTTGTGCTACACTCCCGGGATGTTTTCTCATACATATACATTTCGAAAACTCTCCACTAATTTACATCTCTCTAAAGTAGAATGCAAGTTGCAAGAAAAATTGCTCGTGTAACACGGCCTTCACTCAGAGCAGCACCCAATCATGATCCGAACACATTCGGGCGACCCTGCCCTCCAACTGACGAATCTCCTCTCTTGAAACTTGGGCTTGTTCCTGTCCGCTTCCGCAAGCGATAGTGCTCAGCAAGTTCACGAATGCCTTTTTATTCGGGACTATCTCCTTAACACCCTTACACATTAGATTGGAGCCGCTTGTAAACAGCGTAAGAGCGAACGTCTTTGCGGCCAGCGTGAACCAAACAGCCAGCACGCCCTCGGCGAGTCCCGTAACCGTCGACAGCAGGAACACCAGGAGTGCTGCGCCCATGACAAACAAACCGATGCGCCCAGCACCTGTGCTACAAATCCGTCCTGCCACATGGAATATGCGCCATAACATGGCCAGAAAAGTTTCTTTATTCGTTATCCTCGACGCCAGCTGTTTCATGTTGCAAAGAAGTTTTCTTCCCTCCTCAGTTCCGACAAGCTCTTCCACGTATCGGCCGAGCCCTTCGACGACACGAAGTACATTTTCATTTGCTTTCAGTTTGCCAATTTTCATTATTCCTCTGATGAATTCACAAATCATCTTTGCCACATCTGTCTTTGCGAAACCCATATCGGCCGTAGTATCGCCACTTGTACTCCGTCTTGTGCTCCCACTGGAAGCCATAGTACCGGCTATAGCGTTCAATGGCAGATTGCAATTGCAATTAATTAGGATACATGAGCATATAACTTTAGCGTGTTTGTATGTTTTGCAGACTATATGACAGCATACAGTATCAGAAATGAGCAAAATTTTAGTGATTGCGAAACTGAATTTCGGATTCGTGAGGATTGCTTACGCGAGACTTTCGATTTCGGATAATTTCAAATATAGCACTCCACGTAGTTGCATTCATACTTGCCATGTTTGATAATATCGTGATGTATGAAAGGTTATAGGAAGATGGAGTAACTGAGGTGTTATAATCAAAGAAAAATCGACAACAATATCTAGCCTCTAGGTGATTTTGGGCTCATATTTTAGTTAATCAGCACTCAAAAAGATTGTCGAAATAGAAATCCAAATCTATATTCAGTATAAGAACTGTAGTTCTAATGCACTTTAAAACCGAAATACAACACATTTTAAAAATATTACGTTGCCTCAAACGTAAAATGGCTTTTCTTTCTCACCATTTTAGATCACCTGGATTGGCTGAACATTGTCAGAGGACGCAGCTCGCCCGTTTTGTGCCATCGGATTAATTTGAGTATATTGAAAAGTAAATAAATCACATATGTGTCAATGTAATTTCATCAATTAGCGGTCGCTTTGTTCAAATAAACCATTTGCTGTTGGGCTGCTGGTGGTTATGCTAAACGATTTTGAAGTCGTGTAAATTTTCGCGAGTAAACAGTCCGCCGCGAAAGCTCCGGGCCAGTGAGAAGCCATTAAACTACATTTAAGAAAAGTATATTTTCTCATTAGAAATTCAAATTTACTACCACTAGGTCTCTTCGGCTGCGAAGTGCAACCTCAAATGTACTAAAGCCTTTTTAGTTATTGCATGCTCGTTCCTTTCCTTCTCAAGGCAAGCCTCGCTTGTTTCCAACCTTTCAAGAAGATCGGTGATTTCCTTTTCATGGAGTGATCGTAGAGCAACATTTTGATTCTCTAAAAGTCTCCTCTCCAAGGCTTTTTGCTTTTCTAATTCCAACTGCAAAACCTTGTTTTGTTTCCCAACTTTCTCCAATTCGTGTTTGATTCTCGCCAGTTCAAGTTCTGCTGACTTTCTGTCCTCGATGGCCTTCTCCATTCGATCCTGACAAATCTCAAAGTTTTCTTGCGAGCTCTTCGCATCTTCTTTGAAAGCCTTGCAAGCTATTTTCATCGCTTTGTTCTGCTTTCTAACATCGCTATACTTCCTGTTCAATTTCATAATTTCGCTTGCTTGTTCTTCGCATGTTTTTCTCAAGCGCTCGCAGTCTTTTTGCAACGCTTGTGCGAGGACGCTCAAGCGAATATTGTGCAATTTCGAACGTTTTAAAAACTTACGAAGAATCTTTAGTTCGTCGGCGTTCCATATGCACTTATCCTGGATGTCCTCAGAACCGTTTTCTTCTTCGTTATGATCTCGATTTGCTTCTGTAAAATTACCCTAAAAAATCCAAAATTTGCTTTGTCAGCGTGTTTCCCCCTGGTCGTGTTAAACTAAATTGGTATATATGGCTACTAGGGACGAGGCAAGATTTAGATAAACAAATTGGGAGAGGTGAAAAAAGGTGCAGTTGTTATATATAGGCTGTCAATATACTATATTTTCAATATCAAAAGAGCATTATTGATCAGCATCTGTGCAACTCGATTGCAAGAACTTTAGCAACTCTGGGGGAGGAGAGAGATTCTTGGGGAGATGTGAATATTTCCAAGATGAATGCAAAACAATTCCAGAGCAGGTGTGGAACACCCTATGCTCTCTGAAGGGTCTATCGTTAAGCCAAGGGGCACAAAAATGTCTTGTGGTGAACTTTTAAAGTAAGTCACCTTTTCTTGTGCTCTGTTTTCCACAACATTTGTACATTTACTGTACTTAAAAGCATGGTATATGGTATGGCAAGTCCAGTAGGCAGTAGCTTCATATGTATAGACTCTAGAGCAAACAATTGGTATGTATACACTAGAGCAAATATGCTTTTATTTCAGCGCTGTTGAAATCACCATCTATTACACAAATTACCATGTATGTTAACTTTGTGTCTGAGCCGGTACATAAAACATAAATATACATTCATTGAGAGACTATAATTGGTGAAAACAACCAATTGGCGTTTTTATACAACCTCCTGTCCTCCAGAAGCATCTTCTTGTGAATCGTGTCTGTGTTCTGATTTGTCCTTCTCCTTACTAGTCGAGAGTATTTCTTCAAAAACCTTTTCGTATACCTCCTGAAAACTCTCGTTTAACCGAGCACGGGTTGGCCTTGTTCCATCATCGCGAAAGAAGTCGTTTACTTTAAATTTCGGAGGAAATAACTCTTCAATCCAAGCCGCCATATTTACAACGGCGAAACAGCAACACTCAGTGTTACATGAAGTATTGTCTACAGCCTACTACCGAATTATTTTTAGATTTGATGCCATAAAATTGGTGTTAAAAATACGCTTTTGATTTCTTTTCGAAGTTCTACTCCATAAAAAATGTGTGATTTAAAAGATGTTCAAGGGTTAGATTATTTTTGAGGTAGTGTATTAAGCCCCGCCCAACTGCCCACTCGAATAATTCTGGTAGTATTTTAATTTTAAAAATTTAATATTCACATGTCACTCAAAGCACATGTACCTAAGAACGCTAGTTAGAGACACAGCAAACAAGACATGAAAAGTTTCATGAAAAGTTCTCGAAATTTCAGGTTGGTCGATATCGAATATATTCCTACCTAATTTAATAGGATCACCGTGTTTCCCATGTTGACATTTACACCGGTAAATCGGTTGGGGCAGAGAAAAAAAGCTTTTGAAGGCGATCAGGAAGAATATGACAGCTGCAGTTTATGGAATTATTCATGTGTCCGTCTAGTCAACTTAGTTCTTTGTATCGTATATATCGCACAGCTCTTTCTAATTTGTATTGTATATTTGCCTTATTTGCTTTACGACATCTGCCTTAATTACATCTGGTACATTGGGTATATATTTTGTTTATATTATAAAAGCCTTCGTCGAAACAAATGGGAAAAGGAAAAGCCTTTGAGTGCAGGAAATCAGGAATGATTCCAGCCACTGAGCCACAATAAATGCAATTGATTTAGTCTACACTTTCGAGCTATGAGCAATGAAACTAAATGTTAGATAATCATATTCTAATTTAACATTAGGCATTTCTAAGTTACAATTACAAGCCTGACTGTGACTGCAACCCCTCTGGCTAAGATATCCTTGGTGTAAATGTGCATTAATCCCAGCAATGTAGGTGCTAATGAAAGTAAATTTATCAACTGAATTTAATGCTTGGCTGATATAAATATTTCGACCAACCAAATTGGTAAGGAGGGCACATGGGATGATGGAAAGCAATGTACAAGTTTGCAGTAATTGCTCTGTTCATTCAATTTATCAGTAGGCATATTTGATCCTGCATGGCCTAAAAATTTTTATTTTATTATCTAATGGCATGGCACTGTTAAAAATGTACCTTGAATTGTTTTATGTTGAAGCATGCAGTCTCAGCATTACAGTTAGCTAATATAGTTCATGGTAGATGTTTCGCATGTTTTCTGAATAACCACATCATTAATCTCTAATAGTGACTATATATAGGCCAGTTTTGCTGGCAGCAGCCAAATGTTCCAAGGATATACCTGGCTCTAAGTTGAAATGTTACTGTTTTCTGGCTATAATTCCATTTCACATTGCGATGGGTGATGGAAATATTATATACTTGTTTTGTTATCTCGACAAACCATATACAAACAATGCATCCAATTAATAGTGTCATGTCTCTGAGGTGGAAAAAGAAGGCATGACAATTATGGATATTATATAATTATATAGACAGCCAGTGCTTGAGAATACCTGATAGACTGGATAAAACCAATGTTTATAAGGCCTGATTGACAAAATTTCAATACTTGGCTCACCAAGCAGGGCTTTAAAATTGTGCAAAACTGTACTGCACCTATAACCTATTACTCAGAGACATACCAAATTTTGCAAAATACAAAAGGCAGGTTTCTGCCAACTTCTCCGTTCTAGATACATATCTGCTGCACGCCTTCTTTAGCACATGTTCGTTTTCGGTCGATTGAGCCGCTGGCATTTATTTTCTTACATCCTCTTCCCTCTATAAACAGACGGGGCGGGGCACCCCCCAGATTGTGCACATTTGTTAATAAACAAGAGGCCTGCTCAGGCATGCACTCGGGCTACCGTTACCTCGCTTGAGCTTGTAACACCTAATTTTTGACACCTGCGCGAGAAACGATCCTAGGACGATTTCGATTCCTTCGAAGACTTCGTGCCGCCCACGCGAAATTTTCGTAAACTCGCGACGCAAAAGGAAAAACCGGGCACTATTTTCAACTCGCTCTAATGGGCGATTTATACCTGCAGGTCGGGCAATTTTTACCAAAATCCTCGAATGATCAAACAGTTAATTTGTACTCGAGAGTAGAGAAATTGTATCTGATATCATTTGTGATTTGTTCCCCCTCAAATGATTGAACACGTACGTCTTTCTTTTGCCTATCTACCAGGGATGATGCTCGATTCCGTATCGGAAATCAACGAAACGTGCCTTACTTTTTTAATTCCTTTTAGATTTTTAGTGTGCTACCCATTATCGCGTTTGCAATACATTTGGAGAATTTAGATTGTCCGAGCAAATGCCATCGTCGTTTTTAGCCGTGTTGTCTTGCTTCTGCACATGGACAATTTCCTATAATTTTCTCTGCGTCTATAATTAAACAGACGCAGTCGAGAATGGAACTGTCGCTTGGTAACTGTTTTCCACGGTCTGCTTAGCTGCGTCATTTCGCTGTGCTGTGCGTTCTACACCGGACCGTGGCCGTTCGACGCCCTGGGGGAGCCGAGCACCCCCTTGCAGACCCTTTGCATTACCATAACCCTCGGGTACTTTTTATTCGATTTTATCTGGTGCGTTTTGATGGGAAGCGAAGGCATTGACATGTTGCTCATCACGTGACGTCGATATGTGGCCTGGCCCTCTCTCTCTATCTCGAGGAGTCTGGTGCCGAGCTCATCGCAACCATATTTGGCTCGGAGATCTCAAATCCCTGCCTGCAGGTCAGGTGGTTCCTCCGGGAAACGGGCAAATACGACACACCGCTTGCTAACTTAACGACGTTATTTTTATTCTGCTTTTCCTGTGCATTCGCATCGGACTGGGGCCTGGTTATTTATGGAAACGATGGCCTCTTCGAAGACATCTGGACTTATGAAACTTGGAGGTGTCGCCCTGTATTCGCTTAGTCTCGTGTGGATGGTGTTGATTTTACGTTTTGCGAGAAAACGATTTTTTGCCAAGAAAAGAAAACAGAAGTGATGTTGCTCACTTTTACTATTAGGATCCCATTTCGTACACATATAGTCCAGTTTAGGTAGGAATTAAAATTTGTCGCTATAATGCCAAAAACGAAGATTTGTAATTTTTTATGAATGAATAAGTCTATAAAAATGTTATAAAATAGAATCTTTTCAAACCTGTTTCAAATTTGAGATTACTCGACGTGCTCGTATATTTAACAATAGATCTTCGTTCGAGTTTCGTGAAAGTAAAGCCGGCTTCCGATTGGAACATGTCAATGTGGCTGACGTAATAGAATATTCATGTTTCTGAGCAGTTTAGTCAACAATGATCAGTAAACTTACAATGACTGGTTTGAATATAGAAAACTATAGACAACTGCACTAAATTTACAACTGCACTATTTTTGATCGGTGGCAATGCCTTGTTGCATGACGAGCCAATAAAGACAAAATGGAACCAGGCTAAAAAAATTCGCGCGCCATACGGTCACATCATCGTGTAAGATAGAAGACATCAAGTCATCATTTTATTTTTCAGTAGTTCATTACGTAAACTAGACTATTTCTATTAACTTTGGAAATCACTATTTATTTCAAACACTGCCAGTTTCTATATATAGGTTCAGGAAACCATGATGGCTTTGGCAGTTTATCGTGACTAGCTTCAAGCCTGGTTCTCATAAATGATATAAATCACCGACCGGTGACCTCTGGCTCTGACAAAGGGAATCCCAATTCTAGATTCTTACGATCCCTCACTGATGGATTTCGATGTAAATGTAGCATTAAGTAGCAAATATCAAACTTGTGTTTATTCTCTCCTGGCAATCCACGGAAATTTCGTGTGCTACATTTCGAAAACTCTTCACTTATTTACATCTTAAACAGAAGCATTGCAAGCTGCAAAAAAATTGCATCGTGTAACACGGCTTTTAAATGTACAAGAGGTGGCGCTTGAGGGGGAACTGGGAGCGTGCAACTATCATATCGGGTGACTCTAGCCCCAACTAGGAAGGATATAATAGATTGTCGGAAAAATAAGGAATTCTGAAAAGCATAATCCAGTCGCCATTCTTCACAAAAAACCACCTCCCCCCTACCCTTACACTAAAAACAAAGCTTTCTCACATATTGCCACTGTTCAACGACAACGGGTATTCTTTCATCTGCATTTTCACTTTCGTTTACCATGTTAAAACGCTTAGCTTGGTTCTAAATACCAATTAACATCGTCATATTATACTACAAAAAGAGGAAACAACCGACATTAAGCGATTCTTTCATGTACCCGTCAATTTTAAAATGACCTGTATTTTGTTTTACTTAAAGTACGTGCGTTTATTTCTTTAAATATCTTTAATTATGTTGTTCACCCTGTTCCCCGCGTATTCCACCTGTCGTAAATGGACTTTCTGATTGGCTTGCTATAGCCCGCATGCTGACATCGGTTGGGGCAACGAAGTATTGCCATGGCACTTTACTGTTGACATAATTCCAAAAATAAACATTTCAGGTTTAGTTATTAAATAGCAAGTTCAGCCAAACACAGGTATAATAAAGTTTCGACGACGGGCTTTGAGTGAAAACAAAACAGGTCGCTCTGTTTGTAATAATATTAGACCGTATATATATACATCGTGCTGTCCTAACGTTGTCTTTACCAAAAAGTGTTGATGGAAAGTAGGTCTAGATAAGAAGTAATAAAATACAGGTCTGAAGAAGCGTGGCGGAAGCAAACTGATAGCTGGGCAAATAGAATCGAAAATGAATGAATCGAAAATGACGAAGAAAAGGCGAGTGTCAAGAATAAGAAGATTAGAAATTCAAGAGGCAAAGCTAAGACGCGAACTGAAAGGCACGCTCAAGGACATAAGCAAGGACACGAAGTCAAAGAAGGGTGGTGAGGAAGGACACCTAGATGGAGTGGAACGCCAAAAACTTGCCAACCGCTCCGTGGATATTCGCTCAAAACTTCTCCGATTACAAGACGAAATCGGTACGCGCGAGGTGATCAAGCAGGACAAAATCACCAAGGATGTAAGGACGAGAATTCAAGAAAGCTATTCGACGGCCGCAAGGAAACACAGCAAGTTGCTATGGACAACAATCAACTTGGAGCGTATGAAAGAGGACGAGAATGCGATTCGGGCAATCGCAGGTGCCGATGCCGGCTTGGAAACTCGAAAACGCAAGGTAACGTCACCCGTTGAGAGGTACGTCCTCGACAGACGTGAGATATCATCGGCTACGAGCAGAATATCCGCTTCAAGTATGAGGCACTCTACGGAGGATCTCGATTACAAGGCTCTGGATAGGAGGGAACACTTGGAGCACGTTCGAGAGTCCTTGTCCACGTTGGGATTGCACAGCACGCGAGATCAACTCCAGAAAGCCGACGGTTTGCAGAACAAGTACGACGCGACTCGCGAAATGAGAAACCTGACGCTTGGTCAGATGATCTCGAGGTCGAATAAGAATTCCTACTGGAGAATCAATCCACCGTACAGGCGAAAACGTGGCAAGGTGGCGCACGTACGCAGGGCTTACGCCAAAGACTTCTACGAGAACAAGATTGATATGACGGAAGCGAGGGACAAGAATATCGTTGCTCCTAGAACGGAGGTATTGAAGGATTTAAGGAAAAAAGAGGAGGATGAACTCGGACGATTTACGATGAGTTCAGGACGAACAATGTCGATGCGAAAAATGAAAGGTTTCACCCCTCCTGGAATGAAGTTATCACCGCTTGTCGAGGGCGTCGCACAGTAACGACGCATGTCGGCATGATACAACTTTTTTGTCCTAATTTTTGTCCATGTGGAAATTGGGAGAACATTGCATGTCAATCGTGTATAATACGAAAGTATATATAAATTTTTAAGGGAATGGAAAATGCCCGGTTTTATAGGCAAAAACAGACAATATTGACACGTATACCCGAGGACTGAAATGTAATCAACCCAATTCAAAGTAAATTTTCATTTGCCTCGTTTACGATGCTAAAAAACATACTTTCAAATTCTATTACTAATAAAGCCAGTATTGCTCATGCATATGTTTTAGTCCTTAATGAAAACTCATCAGTTTGTCAAATAATGTTAAAACTAACTTCAAATTTTCCTATATAAGGCGGGTAGCTTTCCAGTATATCAATTTTAACGCTTTTTATGACACAAAATCGACCAGAACACTCGGACCATTAACATCTGTGGAAATGCCATGTTTACGAAAATAATAATTAAAAAGTTTGACTCTGCCGGATCACAAATTGGCACTTGTCAACATTAAGGGGTGTCATGCACTCACACCCTCTTTGGAGGTGTCAAACATCGCAGAATCGTAATTGCATGCAACTACTCAGGGGTTTACTGTACAGGACCAGAGTTGCGCTTTACGCGGCGTGAAAATAAAGGGAGGAGGGAATCGATAAATTTTGTCAGAAGTGCTCTGTTAGAGCTATTTTGAGCGTGGATATTTCGGCCACTAAAACAACCATGCATGCCAGAATTGAAAATTATCGTGTTATGTTACATAGCTAGTAACAAATTTTATTTCAAATCTATAACATGCGTGGTAAAATACTAAACGATAATTTAAAAAATAAAGAACTATAACGTTAAAACTTAGTTGAGTAAACTTAGCTAAGTGGAATATCACATATATTACATATGCATATATATATAGTAAAAACTATTTCAAGTTCGCTGGTAAAATTCCAGTAAAAATCCACACAAAGGGTAAAAAATCGCATCACATAGAATGAAAAGTCTCATGCAACGACGGAATACAAAAATAAACTTAAAAGAAATCGCCCTTTTTGTCTTCGTTAAATGCATCTTCGCCTTAACTCGATTGTTAAAAGTAACATTTTCTGATTTCATTATTCTATATCAGTGCTGTTGATTGCTATACCTGTGCAGGGTCTTCGCATTGAAATAGCTCAATCTTCATTTCCAATATCTTACATTTATGGTCCGTCACAAAGATCTCGCTTCTAATAGAATCCTTCTTCAACTCTCGAGCGATCTGAAATTCAAGAGTCGCGGTATAGTAATATTTAATGATCCGCATGCGCAATCATAGGCATACGGAACCAAATCCCACGGGATAATATAAAAAAAGAAAAAAATTACCCGACTCACGCAAAAATCAACAAACATAACTAATTACGGCAAAAATTTCAAAATTTTGGTAGACCAACTTTCTTAGATTTAAATGTTTTGGGGGAAAACTTCCACTATACACCATCCCCCCCCCGGCCTCGTACGCCTATGTGTGTGCAATGGAGCATCTTTCTAGCCCGAGGACACGCGGTATCGGGAAAAACTGTTTCGCTCTTTCACATTCTTGAGCACCTTCTAAACTAGGTTCTGAATATAGTGCAGTCCCGTGGCCTCTATAATCATCGTCCCAAATGACGATGAATGAAGGGGGAAATTTTCCTCAATCTTTTTTACTCTGTAGTTATAGCATTATTTTCGTCTTCCTTTATCGAGATACAATGAAGATAATATCCTTAATTAATCCTTAATTGCCTCTCGTGTGAGCCTGGCCATTTAGCCTTAAACAATTACATGGAATCACTAAACTACTTGGGACCGCATTTACTTTCTCAGTTCTAGGCACGTTTTTTTGAAGAAAATGGCGAATAATTTTACCTGATTCAAGAGTGGGTTATCATCCACGGAATGAAACACCTCTTTCTCGTAGGCAAGTTCTCGTTCGCTTGATCTGGCTGCCTGCATTTCCTTTCTCTTTTCCAATAATATCTCGGCATCATGAATTTTTCGTTCCAATTCCAAGCTTAAAAAATAACGGTGGCGTTTGTTTATAAGTTTATTATTTATTCAAGTGTCCACGACACATCTTTTCCGTGAAGAATTTATATCAATATATTAGTGGAATATCTAAGTTTTAATAATCACTGCTTTCCCCTCGAATATTTTAAAGCAAAGACCTTTAAAGCAATGTTATCACGATACACGATAAACAATTATTTTCATGCTAAACCCGTTGTGATTCTCATGCACACATGCAGTGCTTTCTCACCGCTATATAGATATTTACAAAAAGCAGGGATGAACAGGTGTAATCGTTGTGTACATCAAGATGTCATAGTGTTCAATGAATGGTATGAAACGAAACGAGGAGAGTCGTAAGTACACTGTCGTATAGTTTCTGCCAAGCTTATAGGTTCGTAAACACGGGCCTTCATCAGCTTTGTGTAGAAGCAAATACACGCGTGCATGGTTGTACCTACTACACGTGATGCGTTTTCCATGTAATTGCAAGATATATATATATATATATATATATATATATATATATATATATATATATATATATATAATATATATATATATATATATATATATATATAATATATATATATATATATATATATATATATATATAATATATATAATATATATATATATATAAAAAGTTTGTCTAGGAAGCAATGAAGATCAGACAAAGGATATCAAACAACACTAAATCTAATCATTTTGCACAAACGTTTTCGCTTTATTGAAAGCTCCTCAGGTGCTGAATACTTTGTACACAATACACAACTCGTTTCTTACAAAGTATTCAGCACAACTCATTTCTAACAAAGTATTCAGCACAACTCATTTCTTACAAAGTATTCAGCACAACTCATTTCTCACAAAGTATTCAGCACCTGAGGAGCTTTCAATAAAGCGAAAACGTTTGTGCAAAATGATTAGATTTAGTGTTGTTTCATATCCTTTGTCTGATCTTCATTGCTTTCGAAACAAACTTTTTTTATATACAGCTACTTGTGTTATCAACCTACATATTTATATATATATATATATATATATATATATATATATATATATATATATATATATATATATATAAACAATTTTTAAAAAACCTTTGTACTCACCCTCGTGGATGATGATCAAACAAACAAAGTGATCTTTTGGGTCTGCGTTGTGGGTACTTATCCAACGTTCCTTGTAAATTTTCAAGCTTTAGGACGTGTTCATTTAGTTGGTCCTAGTCAATCAACATAAAAACATGGATTGAGGCAAGGTACATACAATGCCATGCATAAGAATTGGGGCTTCCATACAATTATTGGTCCGTGAGAAAAAATGGATTTTTTAGAATCAAAACAAGGCAACTTGAATGAGAAAATGCCTTGCGTTTTATGGTTGGAAAGAAAAGTACTATATATATGTAGCACGGTTAAATTTTAATCGTATAATTATATGCGATGAAACATCTTAAAGATTACTTTAGACTCGATTGTATAAAAAAGTTTCTACTTAATTAACTGTATAAAAAGGTAGTTAAAGATAGTTAAGTATAGTTAGTAAAAATTGGCCAATAATTTGTTCCAAATTTCTGACTTAAATATAGAGTATATATACGACTTTCATGTAGTTAATGCACGGCGATGGAGGTTGACTGAAGAAACGCGACTTTTAACTAGTTTTACGACCGGCACTGGATGTCTAACCATGTACAACTAGAATTGGAATAAAAGGGTTCAAGCCACATCAAAATTTTACATTCACTTTAATTTCTTCTGAACAATTCTTAGTCCCTAAGTTATCCACACGTCGGAGATACATGACTGACAGGTACGTGGAAAACATCGTTCAATATATTCGAGTAAAATAAGCTTTATATAAATGAGGGTATACCTTCAATTTTATGGTTTCAATATCGTCACTAGGGCACCTGGAATCCAACAAGCTTCTTGATTCAGATGCCGGTTTCTCCACTGAAGATGTCGATGCAGCTTCACTGTCAAATCCAAAATCGAATTCTGACGAGCAAAACGATGGATTCCATTTCTCGTTTTCAGAGATGTGAACAATGGCATTGTCTTCTACCATAACGTTAGCTGTCTCCTCGCTCCAGGGTTTCTCTGTTCCATCTGCAGCAGAAGAATCACGAACCGAAGATTGCACAGTATGTTTAATTCCATCTTGGGTAAAAGCTGTTTCACTGTTGTCGTTGCCCTTCACTTTCAGACATTTTGTTTGCGACAAGAACGAAAATGAAGGTGCAAGACGACGTCCACGAGAGGACCTGACTCCGTTTGCATTTCCAAAATTGTGATCGTTGCCGGAAAGACGTTCGATTTCAGTCCCTTTCTCGTTGTTGCTAGAGCAAAACTTATCAAAAAGTTTTTGCACCGAGGGAGTTAGATCTGATTTCTCAGTATGGCATCCATTACTCGACGCTGAAACTTTAGTATTGTTCACCGACTCACCATATGTAAGCACGTTTAATTGTATCGAAGATAACCGATCGTTTGGTGGTAGCAAACTCTTCGTAGTAGTTATATTTTCAGGGGTCTTGAAATTTTCTCGCGTGTCTACGTTTACAAAGCTTGAAGATTTTCCTGTTTCGTACAATCCTGTTGAGACTTGTGAGAATTTGGGTTGAGCCCTATGGGACAGCATTGTGCTACATAATTCGCTTGGGGACTTCTGCTGCCGTTCCAACATCGATTCAGCATTAGCCGCCAAAGGAATGGATTCCTTTTCGCTTTTACCTTCAAATTTCGTACAATTCTGTGAATTGAACGGTTGTGGTTGTTCAAGGAATGTCCTGTTGGTCGAAGTTAGTTCTTTCATCTCCTCAGTATTTTGCAGAGGGAAAAAACACTGTCTGGGTGAATCAATCATTTCAACATTACTGCTTGTTGAAGAGGGAGACTTCTCAATTTTTCCCGCCTCGTTAACAACATTTTTACAGCAATTCGAATTCTTGCCGGTAGGGTTTGGGAAATCTTGGGTAAGTAACGCTTGATTTCGCGAAGTCGAAAGGTCCTCCACAGCTTCTATTCCCTGGGACGAACATTGATTCAGAGGGAAATCCCCCATATTCGACAGGGGTGGAATATCACTCACGAGACGAAGCGGAGCCTCTTTGTTGTATGAAAAATTCTTCGCTGTCGAAGGTAATATATCAATTTTTGTAGCCATTTCTTGTTTCGGTGATGCGGTGCTCAGATTACTCAAGGGTGACGGGTAGTAAGAACTACCTGCGATGGAGCTCGGCTGATTCAACATGTCGAAAGTCGTACCACGTGGAGGAGTCGAGTCGTTTTCAGGAATATCAGTCATTTCCTGGAGATTGTTATTTTCCAACAAACACTTTTCTTCAGAAAACGTCGAAGTAATGTTACTCAAAGGAATTAGGTAGGAATTGCCACGCACTTCTCCGAGCGATGGTTTCAACTTGCACGAGGTGTTTATGTGTTGCTCGACATCGGTGGAACTCGCACTTATGGTATAATTTGAGTCCAAAATTTTAGATCTACGAGGCAATACCCCGTCTTCCCTTGAACTCAAAGCAACCAACAGATTATCCTGCAATGCATCATTTTCTCTTAAGGTTGATCTAGCTAACACATTTTCTTCGCCAGAATTTGAAGCAGACAGTGCGTTGTATTCTCTAAAACCCGACCCCGTCAATAGATTATCTTCTCCTGAACTTTCTTTCTCGGTTTCACAATCTAAAAGGCCACTCTTCATCAATAATGGCGTAGCTAGGTTAGGCAAAGTAAGAAGAGGTTTCGTACTGCAAGTTCTTGTAGATTTTGTAGGTTCATGTGTAATGGTTTCTTGCTTTTCCCTGGCCTGATTTGTGATTGATGGGGGACCACCAGATTCAGGAGGCATGTTTCCACCAAGGGAAGAGTTCATGCAAGTTGTATTTTTTGCAGTGTCGAGTGGAGGTGATGGTAGTTGACTAGCTGTTTGACGGAATTGGCTGGCTGTTTGACGGAGTGGCATAGTCGTGTTTTGTTCCGCGAATTCATCTGTTAGTAGCAACTTAGTACGAGCATTTGGAAGATAGTCCTTGCCAACAGTGGCTGTATCTTTTGCAGATGATGCAAAAGATGGTAGATAGCTAGTTGTTTGAGAGCTGGCTGGATGGTTGTTTTGCAAGGTTTGCTGTTGCTTTGCCACCTTACCAAACGGAATTGCAGGCTGTTTTACCTCATCGATTTTAAGGCCACTTTCCAAGGAAACGTCATTCGACTCCACTTTGCCCATCTCAGCCACCGGTGCTGCAAGTGTCATTGGATAGTTAATCAATATCTTCAAAATAGCCTTAAAGTTCTCGAAAACTTCCTCCGGATTTTGATGACCTGGTTAAAAAAGAAAGAAATGTTGCCTGAAGCCTGAAAAGTTGTCTGAAGCTGCCCTTCCCCCTACACAAGACATTCTAAAACCTAGGCGAAAAAGGCAACAATACTTAAAAACAAGAGTGAACAATGTTGTGCTGTACCCAGTGAACAGTATTGTTAACAATGTTAAAGGGCGATGCCGATGGTTAGTAGCAAATGCTTATTAGTTTGATAGATTTGGTATATTTACTTTGATCTCTGACAGTAAAATTTTTACTGCCTTTTAATAGCAACAAAATTTGACCCACTCCGGAAGCAATCAGGTATAGTGTACACTATGCTAATATTTTGGTATTTATTGAATGTGAAAACAATGAATTTTTAAAGAAATGAATAATTATAATTACTCGAAATTTACATAGCTGGACAAAATCGTCAGGCTGCCTACGCCACTGTGTGTAGACTGTATCATCGTCGATAGAATCGATTTATTATCATCACAAGTTCAGTTGACATTCAATACAGACACTTGAAGGCAAGTCTTAACTGTTTAGAGGTCAAATGACAAATGACAATAACGACACAGGTTATTTCGCTTTGTAGTACAACAGCAGCGCTCGATATTCAGTCCTTAGAAACACGCTTTTTGACTGATGTGATTTATGCGACTTGTGTTCATCCCCACACGGGAGAAGCGTAACAAAAAAATCACGTGACCAGCCTTAACCACTCTTTGAGGTTGCATGAAGTATCACCTTCCTTCATTCAACTGCTGACATATTATCGCAGGCGCCAATTCGTGCGGTGCAGTGTAATGTATTATGTATATGTACACGCGTAGAAACGCTCAGGTTGATGCAAGTTGATATAAACAGGGTGCAGCAATGTTGTGCTGCCCACATTGTTCAGGGCTGTTATCAATATTGAACAATATTGTTACACCCGATTCAGTTTCAACAATATTGTTCAATGTTGATAACAACTCTGAACAATGTGGGCAGCACAACATTGCTCCATCTTGTTTGTATCAACTTGCATCAACCTGAGCGTTTTTAGGCGTGTATATGTAATGAAGGTAGGGGATACTTCATGTCGTTGTATGTTAATATTCAACTAAAAGCAAACCCAATAGCGGGCTACCTGTGATTAAACTATCAATAATACTGTTGCAACTTGTTGCAACAACCTGGCATCAACATGAATATTTCAACAAGGTTGTTAACAATACTTGTTCATGGGGTGTTCACTCCTGATGCAACAACCGGATGCATCAATATACATACCAACTGTGGACAAATTACTGTTTAACCGACGAAAATTCGCTTTGAGTTTCTCTACCACTTGTTTTTCGTCTTTTTCCGAAGGCGATTGTCGAGGAACTTTTGGATATTCTCTTTGCAGCAACGGCCTGTTGTCTGTGGAGAAGTTAAAAGCAAGAAAGGGGTTTATCAGGGGCGCGTATGATTTTTAAAACGTTCATGCGCGGCAAACGTAAGCATGACGCCTCAATAAATGCAAAAAATTGTCATCATCATCCATCATAGTAGTAAGCAACATTTTACTTTGCATGCGAAGTCTATTGTTAAGGTACCTCGATAGGAATAAATCATGGGGAAAAGCATATTTGCTTTTAAAACGTTTGACAGCGTAAAATTGTCCTTCATTTTAGGTCATTGCACAGCCACTACAAGACGTTTTTCCGATGTGGACAAAATATAATCTTGTAGTGTCGACATATCTTATAGTGCTTTAGACAGCAATTATGTTTACGATGCAGTGTTTTAATCGACTGGTTTGTAGCAATTATTTGAATTGAGACCGGAGAATAACTGTACTAGATAAAGAAAGATGGCGACCAAATAACCATAAGTTATCCCTTCAGTGTTTATAGAGTTTATTGCAACATGCTGATTCAATCAAACAGGAGCACTCGTAATGACCTAAAAACACCTACCTTCACTCGCAGAGTTATTCTGTAAATCACGCCTAGTGGACGCGGAGAACTCTACATTGATTTGCCTGTTTCCAATGACTTTCATGTTTTTTTGTTTCACAGCGTCCTCGGCTTCCTCCAAAGTTTGAAAACGCACAAAACTAAACAAAAAATCACCGTTTAAAACAACTAATAGAACAATGCAGAGTGAACTGTCGAAAACATTGCCATTATGCATCCCAATAATTAGCTCCCCAATCTCATTAAAGCTACTTTTTTAGGAAAAAAAATTGGCAAGAACTCTTCTCCCCCTCTTCATTACGTCGCCCTACCCCTCCTCAATATATGCAACTAGGGATCCAAGGATAGTGCAAAGTTTTCATGCCCTGTAATACCTGAGCAACCAGACGTTTGTCCCAACATAGAAATTTTGACTTATGCCAGTAAAAATATAACGAACTAGGTTAAACATTAATCAAAAGGAAATTACTCAAAGTACTCAAATTACGTTAGCCGCGGATACTGTCACTATTAAATTATAGCTAATTTTAGTTGCCCATGTAAACCGGCCAAACCGGGCGCGATTTTCTCAGTGTAGTCTCTTTTCTTCGTTAAACAACTGTGACTACATTCACTACATTTATATGATGGCTACAATTTATCCGTCACTTCATAAGAATAGCCAAAATAGTTGCGTTGTAAATAATGTAAATAAACCGCGGTGCATATTATGTCTATGATGTGGATACTTCGACCCGTAAATCGATACAAAACTACTTATAAAATATACTTATAATCAATACTGTATACCGCCAAAATGATTTGATTACTGCACAAAATGTCCGTTTTGTATAGTATCATTTATGTACTGTATGCAGAATATCAGGTATCGACTTGCTATCGACATAATATACATTCGTGTAAGAGTCTATCAATACATAAACAACACAGCGTCGTTTCTTCCTGACCTCTTAGCTCTATTTATGGAATAAACCTTCCAAATTATATTTGTGTTGAATTGAATGCTCATAATTCATAACATAAGTTGATAAAGTGCGTAGATTCTCAAAGAACTGCTCGATTTTTACGCCCGGAATGTTCTGAAGCAATGCTCGTCGCTCCTCGTTTCTTTACATCGTGAATAATGTTCACGTCTCGACGGCACATGCGCAGTTGCGACGTGTAAGAAAGAATCGGGTGTTCCGGGGGGTAATTCTACCCAAATCCCTTTAAAACAAAACCCAAACCGCGGAAAAGCAATGCTTCAAAATTTACAGTAACTGCCAAAATCCCTCAATATTTTGGTGAACTTTGCAAAAGGGGTATAGTGCATTAATAAATAAAGCAAGTTAAACGGATTTAAAAACTTTAAATTACTGATCATATACAAAAAGTTACTATACGCATAAATCAACCTACCCCCCGTAAAGTTTACACTATGACTGACTGTCTGACTGACTGACTGACTGACTGACTGACTGACTGTCTGACTGACTTACTGACTCGTTTGAATTTTCGCCACTCATCACAATACTGCAAAGTTTCTCAAACTTTGCACTAAAAAATGCGTGTTTGGTCGATGATCAGATATAGAAAATTTTTGGATTAAATGTTTATTACAAAAGTGAACAGTTAAATCAAATTAGAAGGGAAGTTAAATTGATAACAGCACTCGATTTATAATTACCCATAGGTGTAAGAGTGTCCATTCGATGGTGGGAAGACAAACGAATCAGCAATATCGCCAATGTCACTGAACAAATCTTCTAATTCTCCCTATAAAAAAGGTAATGCTATCAGCTAAATAAACTATCAGCAAAATTGGATGTCACAAGGTTGCGAGTACAACAACTGTATTAATTTTAATGGTCGGAGTATATAGTGTTTACAGAACTCGGGATATTTAGTTCATTTTTCGAAAATCTCTCTTACAGGCAATATCTGTAATATGTTTTCCACCAACTGAGTTGGAAAAAGGTATTACCTGTTCACAGACCAGACTTATAGCAGAAGACAATTAAGAAAGAGGCTGAAACCTCGACACAACTGGGCTGCCATTTTTGCTATTTTCCTGTACTTAAAACTTCCTTGGTTTTTTATTTTCGGTCAACTGCAAATATCCTTTGGTGTCCTTTAAGTTTTTAGAAATAGATCGAACACAACTGCTTCCTGGCACTTTTACAACTCGTTTTTGGTGGACGACCAACATTTCCTTTTGAATATCGTGACTAATTCATGCAATAACAGATGAACAGAGCGAATCTTTTGAAAATTTATACTTCAAACACTTTAATGTAGGAAAGTCTGGAGACGGTGCTTTCGACAGGTTTGGTTTACGGAAAAACCAAGGAGATTATAAAGATGACTAGTTATTCACAATGATGCAGAAAGTTGAGAGTGGTTTGCATGTCGTATTACCTTCGTGATATCCTTGGGAAGATGACCAACATAAACCGAGTAAAGTTTCGTCGTATCGAGACTAGAACGTCGTGGACCTTGCACATTCGGAAAATAAGAAGGATATATGAAATAATGACTGGTCACGTGTTCCTCCCGTGCAAAACCCCAAAATTCTGCTTGGGACTGTAGATTTTAGATTTCAAGGCAGAGTATATATGGAGCTCTTATTTTAGAGTGAAAGAAGACAGCCAAACATGTACTTATATAGTGAAAAAAAAGAATATGAGAACATCATGAGAATGCTCAATTAACTGATTGAGACTTTTAAAATCATCATCAAAGTCATTGTGTTTTTGGAGGTTATAGGAAAGAGAAAAATAAATACAACGATCCGAAAGTGTTTTAGGCGTTAATTTTAGGCATAAAAGAAAACGTTTTTATCAATCACTAATCACGTTTTCGTTTCTATCTTTCAAATAAGACTACCGTTCCTAAATTTGTAATATTTTAAAACAAGGAGAGCTTAACTAAATCCATACTATGGCGCAAGTCACAATTTCCATCACTGTATTTAAAGCGGGGCACTGGTAATTAAAAATAATTTAGTTTTCCTTTTACAAAAGGACTCTCCGAAAAAATTATATTCATCCCTCATTAGTTCTAAGAATCTTCAGTATTTCACGACCGTTCACAAATTTCAAATAACAAGGAGGAATTTCGTGCAAAAAAATTCTATACTTCTGTAATCATGTACATTTTTCGTGGACTTGTCTTAAGTCATGCGCACATTTGTGTACAACTTGTGTAAACTAATCGTGAAATGGGTTTACATTTTTCACGCACAGCCAATCAAAATGCCTTTATTTTTAATATTTCATATGAAATGGTAAATTATGTACCTTTTTACCGGAATTAATCAAAATTTACCGAAAGCGTAATTAAAACAAAATTGTTGATTAAACAAAATTCCTCCCTGTTATTGCAAATAGCTTTCGAAGTGAATTTTTAAGGTTCAAAGGATATAAATAACTCGAACGGATGTCAGAAAAGCGAAAACACAAGAAATTCTCAATTTAGGATTATGGGGTATTCAAAGATTATCCAAACATCAACCGGACCAGTATAAATTACCTACTGAAATTTTGCCATCTGCTAACATACCACTTTTTTTTAAAACAAGAAGACATTATTGGTTGATGACAGTGTTTTTCACTCATTGGTAAAAAAAGGGTCGATTTGTGTTATAACTTATAGAGGATGAGATCGCAAATAAGATATATGAAAGAAAAGAATGATTGTGTAAACATTACAGGAACTTACCAGGTTCGGAATCGCGCCATTGATAACGAGGTCTGCCAAGAGTCGAGTCAATCACATTGTCTTGATTTGTTGTTTGGGATCCTTTCTTTTCATCATCAAAAACTGAATTCTAGTCAAAGCAATAAATACAAATTAACCACGTTGCACGCATTGATGAAGCTAATGGCAGCCACATAACTGGCTGACCGCCGCAGTTCGAAATCGAAGGTTAGTTACAACATGTTAGTTAGTTACACAGAGAAATTTTCACCAAACACACTTCATATTAATTAGGTTTTGGCAACAGTAACGTTAGCCTACGTAAGCCCCAACTGAATTGGGCTTTTATTATAATTCAAATCTGCCTTTCTGCACATTCGACCATATTTTTCCCTAAAAAATGTGCAGTACGTCTTTTTGCGTGCAACATATTTTACACGTTCAGATTTCATTGGTAAAATTCGTCGTCATTGTAGCTATAATAGTTTTTATTATAATATTTTGTCCGAATTGTAGTTGTTTTCGTCTTGTAAACACATTTTCACCAATTTCCAGAGGTCTTTTTAAAGACATCCGGAAAATAAAAACACCAAACCGCACTTTTCAATCAACTTCATTAATTTCACTTTTTAATCAACTTCAACAATCAGCTTCATTAATCATTATAATATACAGCCCCGTCGCTTAACCCTTAGGGTCAGGCGTTTCAGCTCAGAAACAAAAAAAACATTTTTGCTTCAGGCAAGTATGGGCATATTTTGCAACATTCAGTCATTCACTAGCTACCAAGTGCACTCCAAGTTACTTATGAGGTCAGTGTGGAACTGTGGAATGCATTTTAAACATGGCTGTCAACATTACAGCGAAGAAGACCAACTGGAACACGAAAGATATACCTGAGAAAAGCAAAACAGTGCAAATAAATACCGGGTTTACAGAAGAGCAAATGGCGAAAATAAAGCTTGGTTTTATTCCCCAAGCAATGGAGGAAAAATGGTTTATATATTATGTCGAGGAGGAGGAAAGCCTGTATTTACATCGCAGCTGGACAGGAAATTGCGTATACATTGTAAAATTTAAGAAAATTGACAGTGGTTATGCAGCGATGACCGCTCTGGTCAATGATGATCCAGAACAGTATACGTCTCGTGAAGATCCAACAGACGAAAGGGAGTTGTGTCTCAATATAATTGGAGCGGTATTGCTTGGTGAATACGGTGATGTTGGTTCGCCTCTTGAAGCTTGGTCACTGCTTGGCGTACACAGCTTGCAATGACTCTGCACCCAATCACAATATCACATTTCGAAATAGGTATACTGGCCATTGAACTGGATTTTCACTTTCAGAGAATTTTTTTTTTTTGAAATGAGAATAGTTTAAATAGACTAAAATAGTTGAACATTAACATCTATGCAGTCACAATTAGTGTAAGTGCAATGATTTACAAACATGCATATAACTTTTATAAATGCAAAGTAAGGAATTGCTTTAGAAAACAATTAATTTATTCAACTAATAGATTTTGTATAATTAATCTTTGAGAACTAGGAAATTCTGTGAATGTTGCTGACACCATGGTTATACATTAAAATAAGGAGTATAATGATGTATAATTAAACACTTATATATACTTATATAATACAATATATAAGGCAGGATAAAGTCCAAAAATATTGTACATTTCAAAACAATTTAATCTGCATTTCATGTGGAGTATGCAGAAATGAGCAATTAGGTGCAGGACTACCACAATACTCAGACATTCACATTAGATATCTAATTGATTTGTCAAAAAAGTAAATTATTTATTAAATATCTCCCTGTTAACTATAAAGTAAAACAATAATGAAAAGTTTCTTGATGGGGTTCCCCATCAATGATATATTCTCATTGACTATGCATTTCAAATATATTATGCTACTTTCAGCCTGCGACCAGGAAGTAGCTACACTAAGCCGAAATTAGCATTTTTACAGTGAGCACAACTTCCAACTATAGTTACTTTATACTTAGCTTATCACTGCTTATCATTTGAAAACTACTCACATCTACGTTTTCCTATATATTTTTTGTGTTTGTTGTGAAGATGCCCACTTCTCAATACAATGAAAACAAAACATCTTTTTGAAAACAATACTGTACATTTCAAAAAAAAAAATTGTCACAAAAAAATAATCACTGCAAATTATGAGATAAATTAATTAACCATTTCAAGGAATTCACATGGTTTATCATCAACTTATTTGCAATTCCTGATTTTACATCATGTCCAGTAACTTTAATGGCTAATAAATCCATCAAGACAAAATTTTTCAATAAAGAAAGGTATTGCAATACCTTAAATTTTGTTATCCCCAACTTTTAGTTTTTAAACGCATTTAATTTCTATATACATATATATATTTTACACATTTACATTAACAAGAAGCAATATTAATTCGCCTTCATACGGAACTTGGCAAGGGTGTGATGGCCATACATCAAGTTGATGCGTTTGGCAAAAACACTTCAGTTAATAAATTAAAGCATAGACGTTGTTAGTTGTTACTGTGATAACAACTGCTACAGGCGTGGCTATTTGTTCATGGTTAATAGAACCTGTTTTGTGTTGGACGCTGCTGGCGCAGATAATCTACCAACTTCTAATCATTGTATTTAGTGCGCGTGTAAGCCAAACTACCAAAGTGAGTTAAATTTATAAGTTATATTTAGTTCTTTTGTTGATTTAGATTTAGTTTGTTACCAAGACTTTATTTTCGCATTTACAAACCTTAAATTTAGTTTTGTTTTTGAAGCACTGTTCAAGTTGTCTTGCATGCAGGTTATTGTTCATGACGTACTATTTTATATATTTAATGTATAGGCCGCATGAGATGGTTAAAGTTGCGTGATGTATGTGCATGTGATCACGCAATACTGTATTTAGTATGGCTATTGTTGTTTCGTGTTCTCTAGTTCTAACCTACTATCTACTACGTATCTACATTTCTGCTACCTACCTACCTATATCTACCCACTGTGATAACCCACCCTACAACCTTTGCTACCACGCCGATCTGATATCAATTTGCATGGTCAACCAATCATTTCGATATTAAAGTCATCATTTATTAACTGTCTGTGTACGCATTGATTGCTAATTCTATTCTGTCGAGTTCGAAATATCAGCGCACCACCTACATCTCGCGCGAGCCCGTGACTGCGAATTATCGTTCGGTCCATTCAGACGTACACTAACAATGGTATAGGCACTTTAGTCTTTAAGACACATTCAGACAATCAATATGAAAATACATAATTATAAGGTTTGAAATACTACCAGGTGGCTCAAACGGGTATTAAATTTTGATTTATGATGTTAATGTATATAAGCATGCATGCAGTAGTGAATGAGATGTTATTTATTTTGTTTAAGAAGCGATTCAAAAAAGTAAAAAAATGCCAAAAATTACTAAAATCTGCAACACAAAACGCACGACATAAAGGTTGTCTTTGGATGATTTATATTCATTTGTAAATATGCTTAGATATTTTAGTTGATATACAGCATTGCGTGCGTTTTTACCATGCCTGGCCATGCATGGCCCGGGAATATAGTTTTGGATAATTTGTGAATCATGTGTATCAGAAAGACAATATTTAATAAAGAGGTTGCATAAGGAACATGAACTGTGATTGTTTTTACTCTGCAATAAACGATGACTTTCTTCCAAAACCCAAAGACTGCATGTAATCATGCACAAATATGTCGAATGTGAATCGAGATTGAAGCATTAAAACATTTAAATCTCGCCAAATATTGATTTAAGAAGAAAATGCCGCGCGTATACCAAAATTGAAGGTTGTCCTAAACACTATAAAGTCTATATACATAAAATCTCTGTAGTTTAAAAGTCATAAATTATAAATGATACCTCTGAACCTCTTAAAAATGATATATCAATTCAAAAACTATAATTAATTTTGAGACTCGGTATGAGCTAATTCACCATAATTTTATTATAAATATAAGTGGAAAAGGAGGTGAAGAATGACGCATGACTGAAAAGTTAGACAAGACATATTAGAAGACAAGTTTTTTACAAACAGTAAAAATCACAGGGTTACGCAGAATTGAAATACTTTCATCTTGGATGGTAAGAGAATGTTTATGTTTAGTAATTAACGAAGGCTTTCCTGAATCTAGCTAGTATTTCGGAAGATTCGGCTAACGGAAAGATGAAATTTTAATATCTCATAGCAAAGACAAAGTGTTAAGTGTCCTGAAGGCTGCTTTTAATTAAATGCCTAAGGGCTTTTAAAACACTCGACAATTGTGGAAGATAACAGATTCATCGCCCCATTTAAAAATTATTTTCTTATAAAAATTCGGATTCATCATAATCAAGAATCAGCAATAAATTTATTAACCACTTCTTGGAATTCACAAGGCTTATCATTGTGCACAAAATGACTAGCACCTGGGATGATTTCTTGTTTGGCTTTCGGAAAAAGTTTTCTTGCTTCGTTAAGGTCAACAGTGCTGGAACAAACAAAAAATAATATTTTCAAATATTGATCAAAATGCTCGGCTTGCTTGTATATAAGTACAGTAGGATTTTGAGAAAGCAGCAAGAAAATATTGTAAATTTATGTTGTATATTGCAAGATACAGTGTATGTCTACTTTCAATACGGATTATAGCTACTTGTTTCCCCAGCTCTTTTTCACAGATCTCTGCATGTTTATAGACTGAATGGACCACTTGCATAATATACCAAGTTTTCATTTAGGCGACAAAAACGGAATTTCCGAAAAGGAAATGCTGCGAAATATTGTAAAGTACCAAAGATATAGCCATGCGAAGTTGGAAAATTTTGTATACTTTTGTAATATCGCCAGAGGAGTGTAATAGTGTATATACACACCTCTATAGACTATACCCGTAATGCAAAAGTATACAAAAATTGCCTACTTTGCATGGCTAAATTTTTCGTACTACTTCACATTTGCAGCCAAACTTGGCAGTTAGCAATTATACTATAATTTCAGTATGCTCTTTTTTAGCTGTCGTGATTTATTTCCTGCTTGTTACCTAGATCACAAGTTGGTCTATTATGCAAGTCAAGTGGTCCATTGCATTATCTACAACATGCATGCTCTAGCACAAAAGCCCGTGGAAGAAGCGGTGGAATAATTTAATGAAACAAAATATTTTCCTACCGAACATGAGATTCTCCTCCTTCGATGAAGAGTGTTTCGCCTGGATAAGGAGCCCTTCCGTTTAACTCAATCGCATCCACAAAAACATCCAGATTATTGTACATATTTTCCAGATCCGTTAGCCAATGAAACATTCCTTCATTATTTTCATGTAAATTTTTTAGCAAGTAGGCACGGATAACTGCACTCTGAAAGAAAAGGAGATGTAGAATGAACAGAAAATAATTGCTAATTCTATAAAAATCTTTAATGGGGTCTGACGGTCTAAACATTTTTTCTTTGACATTGGATAACGTTAATCTTTAGTCTTCCTATAACTAAACTAACCAGGTTTTAACTAACGGTTTTAACACCCAATTGGTTTTTATTTAGTTGTAAAAAATTTTGCGTCAGAGCTGAACCTACAACAAATAAAACTTTTACGGTATTAAACGCTTGGCCGACTATAGATATAAAACTTCTACGACCTTTTCAAAATAAACAGTTGCTATTTTACTTAGACTGAACGGAATACAATTCTTTAGGTTCACCTCTGAGCCAAATATCTTCAAAGTCAACCATGAAAATTTTATCAATTTAGCTGCATTACTTTTTGAGATATCGTGCTAAGAAAAGCGACAAAAAACATTTTGCATATATTCATAAATTATAGAGAACAATACAATAGAACAATGAAACAACAGAATAAGCCAATCGACCCCTTTTGTTTGCTCGGGGTAAAATAATATAACTTTTCGTTTAATTCTCGCGTTCGTTATATATTTTTTGAGAGAAAATATTCCGGGATCGATTAGGGAGAGATTTAAGATTGCATGCCTTGAGATTTTTAAAACAGCATAAATCATGATTTTTAGTGTCGTAGACCACCTTAAAAAGAACAAGAATTCGGTCTTGATAAGAATTATTAAATTTACAGTAATGGTTTCTCTCGCATTATAAGATGTAATACACTGCATACCACACATAAGCCCCGTTTAACACTACACTAAAATCATTGGTACAGCACGGCTAAAATTGGTACTCGTGCCCATTCATTACTGTTCTACCAATACAAAGGCCGAGCCATAGATGGTACGGGTAATGGCACCGCGGAAATTGGTTGGAACTCATATAGACTTAGGCTTAGCCCAAATTCTTAATATACTTAGACAAATTTGGTGAGCAAAAAGATTTATAAATGCTAAACACAAAATATGTCTTGCATTGAAGATTTGAATACAGTATAGACTCACTTGAATAGACTCCGCCAACATTGCATCGGCATTGCTATTGTTAACTTTGGTTAAATCCAAATTTCTCATTGCAGAAAATACCATAGGCAAAGTGCCTAGAGACATAGTAGCAGGCGGTTGGTCTTCTACTATTAACTTCTCGACGCTATCTGGCTTGTTCAAAGCTAACTCCATTGCAACTTTACCGCCCAAACTGTGACCAATTACAATAGCTTTAGAAACGTTCAACTGCTTTAATGTTCTGATAACGTCGCCGACCATTAATTGAAGCGTCATTGTTTTGCTACGAGGACTACGACCATGATTACGAAAATCAACAGAGATCATCTGTATTTGAAAATTAAAAACTTAGTTCAGTTAACACTATGTTTGCTGAATTATAGTCAAGTACATTATTATATTTTTAGGCTAATGTGCTTTATAAAATTTTGAGGCAATATGCATGCTCATTTTTTAAAAAATAGGTTGAAAAAATCTTCATATCTCCGAGCAAAAGAGAATACGCATGCATTTTAAGTCAATAAGCATATCGCCAGCGAATTGCAAAATATTTCGCGCTTTCCGCCTTGGAAATGCCATGCACCACCGGAATAAATTGTTTCTACTTGGCTGCCATGGAGTTTCAAAAAAACGAACAAAATATTCGGTAAGTGGCGGAGTCGAATTCAAGAGGCTCTAGATAATTTAAACAGGGACGTGGGGGGTCCCCCAACGAGGTGGAAAATCACGTAACAGAGACTAAATAATATGTAGATGGTTTTTCGGCAGAATAAAAGCAGAAACATACAATTTTTAACACCCAAACGGAAATGTTGCGAATAATGCAATTTCGGTACGCATGCAGGAATCGAATTGTACCTCTGCGATATCAGAGAATTGCTTTAAGGTGGCTCCCTACAGTTTTAAGAATATGGTAAACTAATGATTTAGATTGAAATTTTTGGCAGGAAATTTCTTGCTAAACGAAATGAAATTTTCCAGATATATTAACCACCATTCTAACAGTCGAAAATTGTCTTTGAGTATCACGTCATTACCGTTGTTATGGTAACAATGGCGATTAAATATGGCCACTATATCACTGTCTTCCCCGAAGTGCAATATACATAATCCATGAGTAACATGGATTAGTATTACAATTAGAAAGTATTTAATAAAAATAAGTATTAAAAGATTAAGCCATCTTATCTTGCACTATTGAGCCACCTTAAAAATGGCAGAGGAGTATACATATGGCAATCACCCTAGGAGGTATCGCCAAATATCTGTCTCGAAATGGATCTTAGTTTCTAGACCGGTCATAACCTACCTTTCTTCCAGCCAAATCACGGTAGGATTTGCAGAATTCGTGCCAATTTACAGTCGATCCAAACATCCCATGAATTAAAACGATAGGACAGAATTCCTCTTGTCTTTCGTCCCCGTATATTCGATAGAATAAAGGAAATGTTCCGCTGGCGATGGACTGGTCAGAAAGTGACCCAGCCATACTATTGTATTGAAATCTCGTTTAGAACAAACTCCGGTATTTATTGCAGGATAAAGCCGTAAAAATGTCGCGACAGCAATTTGATTAGCGATAGGCCTTTCCAGTATTCACGTCATACTACAATTGAAGCGTGACTGAACCGCGAAATCGACAATTGATTGACATCGCTTGTTTTTCAAAGTTGCATTGCCGTTGCAATTTTCTTTAACATTAGCAAATATTTATCATTTATAGAGCTGGAGTGAGGGAGGCTCGGCAAAAACTTCCAATTATTCACTATCGACAGGTCTCGGCCCTCGGGTCCACAAAACATAATGTTTCCTTCGTTCGCAGTAAATAAGTGTTAATTGTTAACTTAATAACCCACATGGGTACATTTTTGCACAGGTAAATTTTACAAAGGTAAATTTTTGCTAGTTAACTCAGGTTAAATATAACAGCTAGAACAATACACCAAATACACGCCAGGCAGCCAATTGTTATAATTGGCTAGATTTAACAGAATACACCACACTGGTACCATATATATGGTTGTGTGATACAGACTATGGGAATATATGAAATTGTGTTGTCAGTAAAACAGGTTATTTAAATGGTCCCTTACAATCATGATACAATCATGATGCACTTTCATTCCCTCCCCCCAAATGAACAATTCCTTAGCCCTCGTATCACCCTACCTTAACAAATCCAACATCATCACTTTGCCATATAGGTACAGATTTACAAACTGGCGAGGTTTCATCCTCATTAGAGTGTGCACATTTTTTTTCTTTTCCATCAGTATTTGTATCTGTGGGGGATGCTAGTTGACCAAGAAGTTCATATAACACCTTTTCCAATTGTTCATTATTTTGCAATGACTTAAGAATGTCTGTCATGTTGCCACATCCTGAAAGATTATGAGTGGAATATATGGAGTCACTAACTCCCATGTAAACAGGGGCCAGGGCTTTTCTTACTTTATCATTTTCATTAAGATAATTAGCTTAACTAATCAGTATGCCTTACCGTAGCTTAAATGGGCTATATACTATATTTAAATAGATGATTCCCCATAAACTCTAATATGAATATCCAATTCATAGTCCAAAACGTTTTTGCAAATATGATTTATGGCTCACAGAAGATTATCTGTCCAATTTAAAATGTCTAAGTTTGGTTTAAGTTACATGTAAACACAATTGGAACTTCAAATAGGAAATGTATACATTTTTAAGAATTTGCCAGCATCGGTAATAGGGGGGAGGGGGGGCTATATTCATATATTTATGTCAACAGACTGTAAATTAAGACAATCAATTTCAAAAGGAATTGGTCAAGCAAAACAGAAATGGTATTTAAATATCTCCACCCTCTAATTATTGAATTTGCTGGCTATGCCACTATCTGAGATAAATTTTATTCTATCTTGCCCTGGAAAGATCCACCATGATATTTATATTTTCAACATAACAAATATGCAAATTTATATAAACAATCAATTAATTGACCTGGTTGATCAATTGCAAAGCTAAATTCTATAAAACGAAATAGGCTATATGTCTTACCTATAGGTATATCAGCATTAGTATGAAACATCGCACTATTATATAACCAGGCTATATAAGCCTATATTGGTGCCAATCACTTACCAATTAAAAACCACGTATTGGCGTCTGGCGATGGTATAAAAAACGTATCCAAACGTTTTTAACATTAAACTAACGGTTTTTCCCCTTTCGATAACTTCAACAGTTTAAAAACAAGACTGAAAACTTAGGTATAAAAAAGCAAAAAAAAAAACAACACATCAAGCACTATTCCACAATGTATATATGTTGGCTATGAAGTTATGAACTTTATATGATAAAACATCGATCGTGCACACCATAGACGTCAGCACGTGCTTTCGGTGAGCTCCGTACATATCTGGAGTGACAAGAAGATCCAAATACGCAACCCACTGAGCTATATTAAAATTCCTGAAGGATTATAGCTCAGACCAGTGCAGAGCTCAGTGCTCAGTGCTTGCTCCAGTGGCTTGCTCGTGATTTTTCGGCCGTCATGTTTTTATGGGTTACGCAATAACCAGTGAACTCTAAATCCTCTAATGCATCTGCAATAACGCAGGGGGTGGACTTGAAGCCGAATTTGTGCTCAGTTTGCAGGTAGACCCAGTCTTTTTTAAATATTTTTGTTAAAAATAAACATTTTTAAATCGATGAAGATTTTATATTAAATCTTGCATTAGCTTCGTATAATATATACGTAAACCCGAAGAATCATGACTGAATCTCTCAAATATGCAATCAGATATAACAAAAATGCTACCGTTACGAAATAATATTGAAGTAAACACGAAAATGACAAAAAAATCGCGCGTTTTTGAAAGAGTTTTTGAAAGTTTGAGGTACACCTAAATAGTGTAGATTGTTCTTAAATACACCTTCTTTCTTACTTTGGGAAAATTTGGGCCCTTGTAGTTGTGGAGTGAAAAAAACGAAGTTTAATGCGGATCGGCTTGCTGATTTTAAAAAAGAAATCGAAGCTGACGAATGTGAGGGTATAAATAATAAATAGATACTGCTAATACATTGGTATCTATCCACGCCATAAATCGACATAGATGAACAGACGGACTTTACATCATCTTTAATGATATCTTAGGACGGAATCAGGATAAAAATGCAATTTATGAAATCAAATTATCTGGAAAATCTATAACCTCGACAGAAGAGTTAAAAAGGATCTCAAGGACCATAACCTTCGACATGTCCCCTTTCTCTAGCAACACAAAGCATTTAGCAATTAATAAGTTGCATTAAACGCCCACATGCTGAAATTCGTGAACACGGTATTCAAATTTTAACAATGAGTGATTTCAATCGTTTCGCTTTTTTTGGGACAACCTGTAGTTTACACTTTCATGTTTATATTATATGTTTATAAGTATTCTACGCATATTGCATGTACAGGGTGTTCCAAAAAAACGAAAACTATTGAAATCATTCATTGTTAAAATTTGAATGCCGTGTTATCGAATTTCAGCCCGTCGGGATTAAATGCAACTTATAAAATGCTAAATGCTTTGTGTTGCTAGAAAAAGGGGACATGTCGAAGGTCATGGTCCTTGAGATGCACATTTAAATATTGTTATCCATATTTTTAAATTGTAAATATTGTTAATAAGTATCATTTTTCCGTAAAAGCAAATTTTACTGCATCATATACATGCATATGGCAAACATTTATACACCTGTGAATCTCAACAGAGTGCTTAGGCATTCAAACTCTAACAATTGCATTTGTTATGCAATTGCATCAGTTTTCGTTTTTTTCGGACACCCTGTAGTTAGATTAAGGGGGTGAGTGGGATTTGGTTTTGTAAAGTAGTGCACACCTCTTTTGAAAACCAGCTTTACTGTTAAAAAGACTTTGTGTGTGTAAATAGTTTGAACGAATGAATGAATGAAATCCGAGTGGAACTTTATGCGCTAGCGGGGAATCGAACCCCGGTCTCCCGCGTGGCAGGCGAGAATTCTACCACTGAACCACCAGCGCAACGCCACATATCGCGGTCAATTTCGGCAATCATGTTACTCCGCTGTATGAAACATATTTTCAAATTACACCCATAAATTAGGTCCCATGCTACACGAATCAAACTCAGAAATTATATTTTTAATTTTGTAAAGAGTGATCTATCTTTTACCGATTGCTCGAAAAGATGCACGATACGGCAGCAACTGGGGGATTAACTCAAATGGTAGAGCGCGCGCTTAGCATGCGCGAGGTAGCGGGATCGACGCCCGCATCCTCCAAAATTTTACGCTTTGGATCTGAAATCATTCTTCAGAAAACCGTTGCTTTGCATTAAAAGTTTTCGTATTATAATATGACAAATATTGATTGATCAACAATGAAGCTGGCCGTTATCAGCCTTCGATAGATCAGTTAGTAGATTGGGGGACTGTAGATAAGTAAGCAAACATCCCTGAATCACTGGTTCAAAACCGGTTCGAAGGATAGTTGCATGGAAAATATTTTGAAAAATATTTTACTTGCCTATGTCAAATTGATATACTGGCAATGGAGTAGAAATTTATTAAATATATGTATCCATATTTATCATAACCTGACATTTTGTATGCTCCGTTGTTGTGTGCAGCTAGGGAACTAGGTGGATAATCGAAAACGCCTGAAGAATATAAATAGTCGTTCTGTGCTGTATGCCGAAATAGCTCAGGTGGGAGAGCGTCAGACTGAAGATCTGAAGGTCCCTGGTTCAATCCCGGGTTTCAACAGGAACTAATTTGAAATATTTTGCCGGTTAGCTTGGTGTGTCTGCAAAATTTTGAAAATAACCCTTTTATTTTGCGGTTTAGGCAAATAGTTTGTTTAGGAAATAAATGTTAAAAAAAATGAAAATAGATATGTGTCATTGTAAAAATGGATTTCAATGCGTTACGGCGGTTATGGGAGATTAGATCAAATAAGAGAGCGCGCGCTTTGAATGCGTGAGGTAGCGGGATCGATGCCCGCATCCTCATATTTTTTTCCTATATGATCAATTAAAAACACATTAAATTCTGGAAAACGCAACTCAACTTTATTCGTTCAAATATCAATTTCCTTTTTGACAAACCCGATTCTTCCAATCCTTGTCAGTGTTTGTGTCCTGCAACAATACTCATTCAGGTGTTAAATGTACTGCCGTAAACGGCTCTTTTGCCGGGTATTTATGTAAACGGATTTCCCACGCCGGGAATCGAACCCGGGCCATGGCGGTGAAAACGCCAGATCCTAGCCACTAGACCACATGGGAACTTGCGATGCCTTACGTAGCAGCGTCGTTTTTTTTTAAATTACCCCTTTCTTTTGATAATTTTGCTACGCCACAGTAAGTGTGAAAAAGAAACCACATGATGGGTGTTATTGGTCAGGACAATGCATCCGAGGGGAATTTTATGCGCTAGCGGGGAATCGAACCCCGGTCTCCCGCGTGGCAGGCGAGAATTCTACCCTTGAACCACCAGCGCAACGCCACATATAGTGGTCAATTTCGGCAATCATGTTACTCCGCTGTATGAAACATATTTTCAAATTACACCCATAAATTAGGTCCCATGCTACACGAATCAAACTCAGAAATTATATTTTTAATTTCGTAAAGAGTGATCTATCTTTTACCGATTGCTCGAAAAGATGCACGAAACGGCAGCAACTGGGGGATTAGCTCAAATGGTAGAGCGCGCGCTTAGCATGCGCGAGGTAGCGGGATCGACGCCCGCATCCTCCAAAATTTTACGCTTTGGATCTGAAATCATTCTTCAGAAAACCGTTGCTTTGCATTAAAAGTTTTCGTATTATAATATGACAAATATTGATTGATCAACAATGAAGCTGGCCGTTATCAGCCTTCGATAGATCAGTTAGTAGATTGGGTCATTGGGAGACTGTAGATAAGTAAGCAAACATCCCTAAATCACTGGTTCAAAACCGGTTCGAAGGATAGTTGCATGGAAAATCTTTTGAAAAATATTTTACTTGCCTATGTCAAATTGATATACTGGCAATGGAGTAGAAATTTATTAAATACATGTATCCATTTTTATCATAACCTGACATTTTGTATGCTCCGTTGTTGTGTGCAGCTAGGGAACTAGGTGGATGATCGAAAACGCCTGAAGAATATGAATAGTCGTTCTGTGCTGTATTCCTAAATAGCTCAGGTGGGAGAGCGTCAGACTGAAGATCTGAAGGTCCCTGGTTCAATCCCGGGTTTCGGCAGGAACTAATTTGAAATACTTTGCCGGTTAGCTTGGTGTGTCTCCAAAATTTTGAAAACAACCCTTTTATTTTGCGGTTTAGGCAAATAGTTTGTTTAGGAAACCAAATGTTAAAAAAAAACGAAAATAGATATGTGTCATTGTAAAAATGGATTTCAATGCGTTACGGCGGTTATGGGAGATTAGATCAAATAAGAGAGCGCGCGCTTTGAATGCGTGAGGTAGCGGGATCGATGCCCGCATCCTCATATTTTTTTCCTATATGATCAATTAAAAACACATTAAATTCTGGAAAACGCAACTCAACTTTATTCGTTCAAATATCAATTTCCTTTTTGACAAACCCGATTCTTCCAATCCTTGTCAGTGTTTGTGTCCTGCAACAATACTCATTCAGGTGTTAAATGTACTGCCGTAAACGGCTCTTTTGCCAGGTATTTATGTAAACGGATTTCCCACGCCGGGAATCGAACCCGGGCCATGGCGGTGAAAACGCCAGATCCTAGCCACTAGACCACATGGGAACTTGCGATGCCTTACGTACAGCGTCGTTTTTTTTTAAATTACCCCTTTCTTTTGATAATTTTGCTACGCCACAGTAAGTGTGAAAAAGAAACCACATGATGGGTGTTATTGGTCAGGACAATGCATCCGAGGGAATTTTATGCGCTAGCGGGGAATCGAACCCCGGTCTCCCGCGTGGCAGGCGAGAATTCTACCCTGAACCACCAGCGCACGCCACATATAGTGGTCAATTTCGGCAATCATGTTACTCCGCTGTATGAAACATATTTTCAAATTACACCCATAAATTAGGACCCATGCTACACGAATCAAACTCAGAAATTATATTTTTAATTTCGTAAAGAGTGATCTATCTTTTACCGATTGCTCGAAAAGATGCACGAAACGGCAGCAACTGGGGGATTAGCTCAAATGGTAGAGCGCGCGCTTAGCATGCGCGAGGTAGCGGGATCGACGCCCGCATCCTCCAAAATTTTACGCTTTGGATCTGAAATCATTCTTCAGAAAACCGTTGCTTTGCATTAAAAGTTTTCGTATTATAATATGACAAATATTGATTGATCAACAATGAAGCTGGCCGTTATCAGCCTTCGATAGATCAGTTAGTAGATTGGGTCATTGGGAGACTGTAGATAAGTAAGCAAACATCCCTAAATCACTGGTTCAAAACCGGTTCGAAGGATAGTTGCATGGAAAATCTTTTGAAAAATATTTTACTTGCCTATGTCAAATTGATATACTGGCAATGTTTCCAAAGACAGATCACGACTACGCCGTAGAGATTTTTCGTAATATATTATATAAAATACATTCTATAGTAAGATAATGATTAAGTTTGATTAGGAAAGATTCATTTTGATTAAATTGTCAATCGACTAAGACTATATGTAATCGCTCGTTACCTGAAGAGTGGATCTCTACAGCTATCTCTGAATTCAAACAATTGCTGATATAGGTCCTCGCTATATCTCTCTCTGACTAACGACTAAAGACAATCTACTGTGCATGCGTTTTGTTACTTGTAATTGGAACCGACATCCTGTTCATACTATCGTCAATCATATATGTTAATCATTGATGTAAATCAAGGTGTAATCAAGTTAAGGAATCAATTAGATATAATAAGTAAGTAAAGTAAGTTAGGCTGTCTGAAACAACCCTCCGGGCCTCTGTTAAAGAGATTCCTCTTCTAATATCATGCAGCATTTCTGTACTGACCGTTTATAAGTTCCCGTCTTCGTCTTCACGATTACGTTTCTTACCACACCGTCTTGTCCCGGCATAACCTCGACGATACGTGCCATGTTCCACCTCCCGCGTGGGAGATTGTCGTCTACCAACATTACGATGTCATTGACCTTTGGCTGTCTCTTCTTTTGCCTCCACTTTGTTCGGCGCATCAAACTCTGCAGATACTCCCGTTGAAACCGTTGCCAAAACTGCTGGATTAATGACTGAACATATTCGAACCTTTTTCTGCTGCTCTTTACTTCTTGGAATGGACCTTGTGGTGTCTTGATGTGGCACGTCCTAAGATGAGGTGGTTTGGTGTCAGCGGCTGCAAGTCGTTGGCATCATTGGATGGATATCCAAGAGGTCGGGAATTAATCAAGCATTCTACCTCTGCAAACACTGTCGCCATGTCGTTCCATGACAACGTTTGTTGACCAACGATGGCCTTCAGTGCGGATTTCGTCAACTTCACCATGCTCTCGAAAAATCCTCCTTGATGGGGGCTTGCAGGCGTGTTGAACTTCCATTTCAGCTTATGTGATACGGCAAAGTCTTCCAGGTTTTTCCTTCCTTCTTTTAGAAGTTTCTTCAATTCTCGTTCTGTACCCACGAATGACGTTCCGTTATCCGAGATTATGGTTTTGGGCCAACCATGATGAGCGGCGAAACGTCGAAGGGCGTGTAGGAATGCTTCTGTTGATAAGTCTTGGACGATCTCCAAGTGTATTGCACGAACAGTGGCGCATGTAAAGACGGCTCCCCAGGCTTTTATCTTCTTGTTTCTCCCATACTTCAAATAGAAGGGACCAAACAGGTCGACGCCCGTGACTGTAAATGGTGGTGCAAACAACTTCAATCTGTCGGGAGGGAGGTCAGCCATCAGCGTGGTATGCGGGTACTGTCTAAGTCTGCGACAAGTGACACAATCTTTGACTATCTTCCTGACCAAATTTCTGCCACGAGGAATCCAGAACTTTCTTCGACATTCACACAACGTACGTTCGCGACCGGCATGTAGGACGCGGTTATGAGCGTCTTTGACGACTAGCTTCGATATAACGTGGCTTACTGGTAGCAACACTGGGTGATTTTCGTCAAATTGCAAGGGAGAGCGAGCCAATCTTCCTCCCACGCGGACTACGCCGTCTTCTTTGAACGGGGCCAAATCTTTGTACTGATGTTCCCAGTCGCCAAGCTCCGTCTGAGCTGACTTTATCCAATGTGTTTCGGCTGATTCGATTTCCATCGGCTCGAGGGGGCCATCTTGTCGCTCTGCTGGGGTCTTACTGTTCTTAATAAAACGGAGACAATAGGCTGTGATTCTGCACAGTTTCCTCCAGTTCGAGAATCTTGATGGGTCCACTATGGGGTGTGTAACCTCTCGTTGCAGGGCAAGGATGTGTGCTGAACTCTTTACATCTGGTAGTTCAACTTGCTTGTTTGGGTGGGAGGGCCATTGCTCGACTGGATCTCTTAAAAATGTGGGGCCTTTCATCCAACGCTCTTTCAACTTTTCCACTGGAATGCCTCTACTTAGGTCATCTGCAGGGTTCAAACCTGTTGGAACGAATCTCCAGCAGCAGGGTTCCCATGAGGTCTGAATTTCTGTCACTCGAACTCCGACGAATGGCTTTAGGATGGTCGATTCTGCTTGGATCCATGCGAGCACAATCATGGAATCCGTCCAGAACGTTACGCTTGATGGTTTTATCTTGAATTCACCTTGGATCGTTTTAGCTAGTCTTGAGGCTATTAAGGCCGCCATAAGCTCCAATCTCGGTATAGTTGTTTGTCGAATTGGCGCGACTCTCGCTTTGGCTGCCACAAGGCGGGCTTCGACACCGTCAGGTCGTGACCAAACAAGATAGGCTGCTGCTCCATAGGCATTGATACTGGCGTCGGAGAATACGTGAAGCTGTGGTGAACCGGATGCATTATTCGGCTTTAGACAACGCGGGAAACAAACAGTGGATAGGTTTTCTAACTCATCGAATATCTTGTCCCAATTATGCTGTAGCTCTTTTGGAAGTGGGTCATCCCAATCAAATTTCTTCATTTTCCATCCTCCTGCAGCGCCATTCTCGCTTTTATCGTTACTGGTGTTGCTAATCCGAGGGGATCGAAGATTCGAGAGATGTTTGACAGGACTGATCTTTTCGTATAAGGGGTTGTTCTCTTTAATTGGACTTGAAAATGAATCGTATCAGACATCGGATTCCACGAACTCCCAGAGCTTTGATGCCGCTTTGCTTGTCGAGGTTTACTTCGCTTGATGAAGGTGAGATTTGATCTTGCGTTTTTTTCATTCTTTTCGCATTCACGGTTTGTTGGAGTTCAGGTGAGGAGCAATGCCATTCCTTTATATTGAATCCACCTTCTCCAAGTATCTTCTCTACGTCCTTGATTCTCTTCTCTCCATCTTGCACAGTCGGGCATGATGGATCAAGTCGTCGACATACCGGTCCCTCTCAATGATTTTGGAAGCCTCCGGTGTGCGTTCCTTGTTTTCCTCCGCGATCTTGAGCATCACGTAGCTCGCCATGTCTGGAGATGGCTTGTCCCCGAAGGTAACGCGGAGTAGGGCGTAGGTCGTCGGCTCCTTTGTCGTGTCCATGTTTCTCCATAAGAAACGATGCATTTGGCAGTCACTTTCAGGCAGAAGTATTTGTAAGAACATTCTTCGATATGTCCCCGACAAACGCCACTTTTCTTCTCGAAAGCGTAGCAGAACTCCCAGAAGATCGCCAATCAGACAGGGTCCTTTGTACAGAAACGAATTGAGCGAGATATTCTTGTAGGGGGATGCGGGGTCAAACACGATTCTGAGGGGCGTGCTTTTCTTTTCTGGCCGGTAGACGCCGTGGTGAGGTAAATAGTGTGCATGGGGTTTTCTGACTTCTTGGTCTTCTAACTTTCTGGCCCATCCGTTCTTCTCGTATTCCTTAATTGCTTCATTGTACATCTTTGCTTTCGTTGGATTTCTTCGTAAGCTTCTCTCTAAAGACTCGAGTCTTTGCCGTGCCAAGGGATAATTATTTGGTAGTCCTGCAGGATCATTCTTCCAAGGTAGTCCGATCACGTATCGTCCGTCTAACTTCTTACACGAGGACTTGAACAGTTCTATGGCCTTTTTCCCGTCGTTGGTCATCACGTCTACCGGACATTTACAGTCTGGAGCCTAACTCCAACGGTTTCAAAGTCATAGAATGTTTCCAGGTTGATTTTTCTTGCGAAGCTGAGGTAGTTGTCGGAACCCTTCGCGTTGTCAGGACCAATAACATGCCATCCAAGCTTTGTCTTTTTGGCTATTGGTTGGAACGGTAAACCTTGACGTACTTCATTCTCGGCGTGAAGGTGGCTGTATTGTACACCAAGAATCAAATCGATCGGACCAGCGTGATGTGAAAAGTCAACATCTTTTAGGTGATCAAAGGAGCTCAACCAAGCGCGATCAAGAGGGGGGACGTTGATTATGGTGTAGCCAATCTCGTGAGCCTCTATTGGAAACGACTCGTTTCCGTTCAATGGAGAAATCCAAAACTTTACTCTGCGACTGTCGTCTTGAGTTATTCTCTCCTCCAACGACTGCGATATTTATCTTCTCTTTCCTTCCCTTGGAGACCCAGGGCTTTGGCGAATGACTTTCGGATGACTGTGATACCCGCGCCGCTGTCTATCAACACGTTTCCTTCGCGTACGTTGCCGTTGGAGGACTTGAAACAGACTCTGACGACTGGCATAATTCCATCTCTATCGAGGGCAGAAGTCACCGAACCTAATATAGGATTCGTTTCTTTACTGGCGTGTAGCAAGCGGTGGTGGAAATGAGTGCAGTCGTCTACATCACACTTTGCTTTGGATCTACAATCCTTTGTCACGTGACCGCGGTTGAGGCAGGAGAAACAGAGTCGCTGCTTCTTGACGTGTTGGATTCTCTCATCGGTGGAGCAGCTCGAAAACACAGGGCATTCTACCACTCGGTGGTCTTCTGAGCAAACGTAGCATTGGATTTTTTTCTTTTCTCTTTGTCCGGAAGCGATCCCACGCCTGTCACGCTGAGGGAAGCGGGCTTCGGATTTCTGGATATCCCCAAAGTCAGGGTCGAATTCAGCCTTCACGCGCTTTCGCAGAAATCGTCCGATATGCTCAAGAGAAGGCGCTTCTCCCCTTTCCCTAATATCCGTCGCTGCTGCTTTCCATTTATCTATAAGGTTGTCAGGCAGCCGCTTGACGACGTCGCGCAGATTATAGATGGAGTTTGCGTCTGCGAGGCGATTGATTTGCTTTAATGTTGCGACACAATTCATGACATCAAACGACAACTCTTGTAGGGCCTGTCTATCACTGCTCTGAATTTTACGTCTTTCCAGTAGCTTGCTGATGTGTGCTCGTGCTATAGCGCTTGGTGTGCCAAATTGTTCTTTCAAAGTTTTTAATGCCGTTGCGTACATTTTCCCGTGAGAGCCGAGACCGCTTACTGCGCGACGGGCGCGGCCTGCTAGATGCATTTTCAATTGTACCATTCGTACATTATCGGTGAGATGAGACTTGTCATGGATGTGTAATTTGAAGCGCTCAATGAATTCAACATATGTAAGCGGGTCGCCGTTGTATTCGATTAACTCAATGCTCGGGATGTCCTTGCTTGCTTCTAACTTATAGAGGGCTTCGCGACAGACATTCTGATAGCGTATTCGGTAAAACAGTCTCTTCAAACTCAGTTAGGTCATTTATCCAACTATCAAATGCCCGAGGTGACGACGAAGATAATTGAACTGTTGACAGGTTGACTTGAATTCAATCGCTCTTCCGAACGTATTGAAATATCTCTTTCTGATTCAGATTGAAATCATGTGAAGTACGGTTGAATCAGCGTAGTGGGATTGATCACGTCAGATGCAACATGTTCGCATTATTTTCAGCCTCACTCTCAACAGGGGTTGCTCCCGCGGCGGAAGTACTAGGTTGCGTTTCCTCAGGCATGCTGCTCCTACTGTTACATAACTTACATTGTCCTATTCGATGGATGAGAATCTGTTCGTTGTTTAAGGACTTTGCTTGACGCTAGAAGATCGACTCCGATTGCTTGACAGCCCCTTCTATGTCATATAGTCGTCAGTTCGTTCCCAATCGTCCATATTGGACGTTTGACTTTCTTCAGCATAAATATAAAGCTCAGCGTGATATTCACGCGCCAACTCAAAGTCCTTTCGGATTTGTGTTAGTTCTTTCTCTATTTTCTTGCGCGCCTCTGCGCCTTCATCGATAAACTTTCTTACTCTCTTTATAGATCGAGTAACCTTACGCTGTAGCGCTCGTTTTTTCTTTAGATTACTCGCCAACTGCGCGTCAGACTCGCCAGTTCCGTTGCTTGCCTTTTCGCCTTCATACAACTGTCCACTCTGGACCTCTTCTGTCGCCATGATCTTGTCTTATAACCAAATTGCGGCAAAATACACTTCTTCAGAACTTGTTTCCAAAGACAGATCACGACTACGCCGTAGAGATTTTTCGTAATATATTATATAAAATACATTCTATCGTAAGATAATGATTAAGTTTGATTAGGAAAGATTCATTTTGATTAAATTGTCAATCGACTAAGACTATATGTAATCGCTCGTTACCTGAAGAGTGGATCTCTACAGCTATCTCTGAATTCAAACAATTGCTGATATAGGTCCTCGCTATATCTCTCTCTGACTAACGACTAAAGACAATCTACTGTGCATGCGTTTTGTTACTTGTAATTGGAACCGACATCCTGTTCATACTATCGTCAATCATATATGTTAATCATTGATGTAAATCAAGGTAGAATCAAGTTAAGGAATCAATTAGATATAATAAGTAAGTAAAGTAAGTTAGGCTGTCTGAAACAGGCAATGGAGTAGAAATTTATTAAATACATGTATCCATATTTATCATAACCTGACATTTTGTATGCTCCGTTGTTGTGTGCAGCTAGGGAACTAGGTGGATGATCGAAAACGCCTGAAGAATATGAATAGTCGTTCTGTGCTGTATTCCTAAATAGCTCAGGTGGGAGAGCGTCAGACTGAAGATCTGAAGGTCCCTGGTTCAATCCCGGGTTTCGGCAGGAACTAATTTGAAATATTTTGCCGGTTAGCTTGGTGTGTCTCCAAAATTTTGAAAACAACCCTTTTATTTTGCGGTTTAGGCAAATAGTTTGTTTAGGAAATAAATGTTAAAAAAAACGAAAATAGATATGTGTCATTGTAAAAATGGATTTCAATGCGTTACGGCGGTTATGGGAGATTAGATCAAATAAGAGAGCGCGCGCTTTGTATGCGTGAGGTAGCGGGATCGATGCCCGCATCCTGATATTTTTTTCCTATATGATCAATTAAAAACACATTGAATTCTGGAAAACGCAACTCAACTGTATTCGTTCAAATATCAATTTCCTTTTTGACAAACCCGATTCTTCCAATCCTTGTCAGTCTTTGTGTCCTGCAATAATACTCATTCAGGTGTTAAATGTACTGCCGTAAACGGCTCTTTTGCCGGGTATTTATGTAAACGGATTTCCCACGCCGGGAATCGAACCCGGGCCATGGCGGTGAAAACGCCAGATCCTAGCCACTAGACCACATGGGAACTTGCGATGCCTTACGTAACAGCGTCGTTTTTTTTTAAATTACCCCTTTCTTTTGATAATTTTGCTACGCCACAGTAAGTGTGAAAAAGAAACCACATGATGGGTGTTATTGGTCAGGACAATGCATCCGAAGGGAATTTTATGCGCTAGCGGGGAATCGAACCCCGGTCTCCCGCGTGGCAGGCGAGAATTCTACCACTGAACCACCAGCGCAACGCCACATATGCGGTCAATTTCGGCAATCATGTTACTCCGCTGTATGAAACATATTTTCAAATTACACCCATAAATTAGGTCCCATGCTACACGAATCAAACTCAGAAATTATATTTTTAATTTCGTAAAGAGTGATCTATCTTTTACCGATTGCTCGAAAAGATGCACGAAACGGCAGCAACTGGGGGATTAGCTCAAATGGTAGAGCGCGCGCTTAGCATGCGCGAGGTAGCGGGATCGACGCCCGCATCCTCCAAAATTTTACGCTTTGGATCTGAAATCATTCTTCAGAAAACCGTTGCTTTGCATTAAAAGTTTTCGTATTATAATATGACAAATATTGATTGATCAACAATGAAGCTGGCCGTTATCAGCCTTCGATAGATCAGTTAGTAGATTGGGGGACTGTAGATAAGTAAGCAAACATCCCTAAATCACTGGTTAAACCGGTTCGAAGGATAGTTGCATGGAAAATATTTTGAAAAATATTTTACTTGCCTATGTCAAATTGATATACTGGCAATGGAGTAGAAATTTATTAAATATATGTATCCATATTTATCATAACCTGACATTTTGTATGCTCCGTTGTTGTGTGCAGCTAGGGAACTAGGTGGATGATCGAAAACGCCTGAAGAATATGAATAGTCGTTCTGTGCTGTATGCCGAAATAGCTCAGGTGGGAGAGCGTCAGACTGAAGATCTGAAGGTCCCTGGTTCAATCCCGGGTTTCGGCAGGAACTAATTTGAAATATTTTGCCGGTTAGCTTGGTGTGTCTGCAAAATTTTGAAAATAACCCTTTTATTTTGCGGTTTAGGCAAATAGTTTGTTTAGGAAACCAAATGTTAAAAAAACGAAAATAGATATGTGTCATTGTAAAAATGGATTTCAATGCGTTACGGCGGTTATGGGAGATTAGATCAAATAAGAGAGCGCGCGCTTTGAATGCGTGAGGTAGCGGGATCGATGCCCGCATCCTCATATTTTTTTCCTATATGATCAATTAAAAACACATTAAATTCTGGAAAACGCAACTCAACTTTATTCGTTCAAATATCAATTTCCTTTTTGACAAACCCGATTCTTCCAATCCTTGTCAGTGTTTGTGTCCTGCAACAATACTCATTCAGGTGTTAAATGTACTGCCGTAAACGGCTCTTTTGCCGGGTATTTATGTAAACGGATTTCCCACGCCGGGAATCGAACCCGGGCCATGGCGGTGAAAACGCCAGATCCTAGCCACTAGACCACATGGGAACTTGCGATGCCTTACGTAACAGCGTCGTTTTTTTTTTAAATTACCCCTTTCTTTTGATAATTTTGCTACGCCACAGTAAGTGTGAAAAAGAAACCACATGATGGGTGTTATTGGTCAGGACAATGCATCCGAAGGGAATTTTATGCGCTAGCGGGGAATCGAACCCCGGTCTCCCGCGTGGCAGGCGAGAATTCTACCACTGAACCACCAGCGCACGCCACATATAGCGGTCAATTTCGGCAATCATGTTACTCCGCTGTATGAAACATATTTTCAAATTACACCCATAAATTAGGTCCCATGCTACACGAATCAAACTCAGAAATTATATTTTTAATTTCGTAAAGAGTGATCTATCTTTTACCGATTGCTCGAAAAGATGCACGAAACGGCAGCAACTGGGGGATTAGCTCAAATGGTAGAGCGCGCGCTTAGCATGCGCGAGGTAGCGGGATCGACGCCCGCATCCTCCAAAATTTTACGCTTTGGATCTGAAATCATTCTTCAGAAAACCGTTGCTTTGCATTAAAAGTTTTCGTATTATAATATGACAAATATTGATTGATCAACAATGAAGCTGGCCGTTATCAGCCTTCGATAGATCAGTTAGTAGATTGGGGGACTGTAGATAAGTAAGCAACATCCCTAAATCACTGGTTAAAACCGTTCGAAGGATAGTTGCATGGAAAATATTTTAAAATATTTTACTTGCCTAAATGTGAATATACTGGCAATGGAGTAGAAATTTATTAAAATATGTATCCACATAACCTGACATTTTGTATGCTCCGTTGTTGTGTGCAGCTAGGGAACTAGGTGGATGATCGAAAACGCCTGAAGAATATGAATAGTCGTTCTGTGCTGTATGCCGAAAATAGCTCAGGTGGGAGAGCGTCAGACTGAAGATCTGAAGGTCCCTGGTTCAATCCCGGGTTTCGGCAGGAACTAATTTGAAATATTTTGCCGGTTAGCTTGGTGTGTCTGCAAAATTTTGAAAATAACCCTTTTATTTTGCGGTTTAGGCAAATAGTTTGTTTAGGAAACCAAATGTTAAAAAAACGAAAATAGATATGTGTCATTGTAAAAATGGATTTCAATGCGTTACGGCGGTTATGGGAGATTAGATCAAATAAGAGAGCGCGCGCTTTGAATGCGTGAGGTAGCGGGATCGATGCCCGCATCCTCATATTTTTTTCCTATATGATCAATTAAAAACACATTAAATTCTGGAAAACGCAACTCAACTTTATTCGTTCAAATAAATTTCCTTTTTGACAAACCCGATTCTTCCAATCCTTGTCAGTGTTTGTGTCCTGCAACAATACTCATTCAGGTGTTAAATGTACTGCCGAAACGGCTCTTTTGCCGGGTATTTATGTAAACGGATTTCCCACGCCGGGAATCGAACCCGGGCCATGGCGAAAACGCTCCTAGCCACTAGACCACATGGGAACTTGCGATGCCTTACGTAACAGCGTCGTTTTTTTTTTAAATTACCCCTTTCTTTTGATAATTTTGCTACGCCACAGTAAGTGTGAAAAAGAAACCACATGATGGGTGTTATT